GTAAGTGGAAAATGTAAGAAGAGAATGATAAAAAATATTGTCGAGTATTTATAGTCCAGAGAACGTCCCTAGTAGCAGTTTCAGAAAGGTAACTAAGTGGAGTTAACTCCACACTCTTTTCCAGCGTCTTGCTTCAAAAATTAAAATGCAATGTCAATCGTTATCTTCTTAATTCCTGTTCTTTTATTTTTCTCTCACCTTAATAATGTTTTTCTTATATTCTTTAACACTGAGTAACACTTCCATCTTAGTAGCTTTAAAAAAAAAATAGACAGGAATTTTTGGAGAGGACTAATAAGAGATATCTATAATATTCTTGAAGATGAGAAATCACACAGATTTGCATTGTGCCTTCAAGTCAAAACATCTCTGATGATGATAATGATGAAGTGTGTATGGGAGTTCAAGGTCTTATTAATTTACAGGTGAGATGCAACAGTAAGTTCTATGTTAACAGTTTCTTCTCTCACATTTCTCACTTGTAGAACTCTCTTCTGGTTCTGTGCTTTAAAGTCAACCTTGATCTTCCATAAATTAAATGCAATGTTTATCATTATCCACTGTCTTCTTCATTACTTTTATTGTTCTCACTCCTTAATAATGTTTCTCTATTTTCTTATTCTTTCACACTAAGTAACCCCTTGTGTCTCAGTGGTTTTAATACCTTGTTTGGTGGGGTGAAATGATTAAAAAATCTCTACATTGCTGCTAAAGAGAATCTTTTTTTATGTTTGTTTTTATTTTTGATAAATTTCAAAAAATAATTTCTTGTACTGCAAAATATCAAATACACTAAGGTAATAAATGTTTGTGCTGAATTAATATTATATTATAAAATTTTTATTCCCTACTAAACCTAAGTTCTTGCGACAAACACAAAAAACTAGTTAGTAGGAATAGCAAATCATAATAGGTGCAAATCAACAAAACAAGTCTCAGTCACTACGGAAAATTTTAAAGGAAAAACACTTGTTACACAAGTATGAAATAGGTACAAAAATACAAAGATTGCACGGAAATTTCCTTTTCTCCGTCTATTAAGTCAGGATAGCTATTTTTAATAAAAATAATAAAATTAAAAAATTACAGTTTGGGAAAAGACAAGGTTTGGTTTAGTTCAGTTTATTTTGTTTTACGGCATATCAATCTCAATAATGCTAACAACTTTTTAGGATAGATTCGTATGAGAATATGTATTCTTTGGTTTAGATTGGTTTGGTTTATTTTGTTTTACGGCATATCAACCTCAATGGGTTATTTAATGCTGACAACATTTTTAGGATATATTCGTATGAATAGAATATGTATTCTTTGGTTTAGATTGGTTTGGTTTATTTTGTTTTACGGCATATCAAACCCAATGGGTTATTTAATGCCGACAACATTTTTAGGATAGATTCGTATGAATAGAATATGTATTCTTTGGTTTAGATTGATTTGGTTTATTTTGTTTAACGGCATATCAACCTCAATGGGTTATTTAAGGCTGACATTTTGTATTGCTGGTAATATTTTGTTTTGTCAAAAATCTGTTTTTGGTAATATTTTTCCTTCAAAATTGTATTGCTGGTAATAATTTTTTAAAAAAGTATTGCTGGTAATAGTTAACTATTTGCCTAAAGCTGGGACCCTAACAGGTGCTACCACCCTGGGTTAGGGGGGACCTGGAAACATCAGTAATTAAGAGGTGATTCCACGCTCCTCAAAACCTCCTGATCAGAGGCCTTGCTGCTGGATGTAGTTTATTGTCTTACCCAGGACACGGATGTAGTTTAACGTCTTACCCAGGACGAGGAAAAGAAAAGGATTATGAAATTCACGAAAGAGAAAATAATACAAAAATATATATAATATTAATATATAAGATAGAAATGATTTTATTACTTTTATTATTAGTTTATTTGATAATCTGAATCTTTTCCTGTATGTTATTCGTTATCGCAGCCAAGGTTAGCCTATCGACAAACATCACACAGAATTTAAGGTTTCTTTTTTAGAATTGTCGTATAAGACGACCCACAATTTTTTAGGGTAATTATTTCTTTTTATTCTTTAATTTTTTTTTATTTAAAGGTCATCTCATGTGTGGAAATATATGGTGTATATACATATATATATATATATATAGACAAAAGGAAAACTAATCTTAGCCAATGCGTTTCATCCTCTGAGAGTCTTTATCAAAGCAACTGTAAGGATGTTATTCTGTCACTTTCTACTTATTAATCTGACATAGATTTATTACAAAATACCGTTAATAATAGTACGATAATAGTACATTCTATTGCTGTAAATGCAATCATCAGTCAATGTTTACATTTTCTCTGGCGAGCTTTGCATGGATACAAGTTGATTTCATTGATATGGAATTATTCTTTGAATAGGTAAATTATTATGAAGTTATGCCAGTAAAAATATAAAATAGAAATGGTTTTATTACATTTATTATCAGTTTATTTCATAATGTGAATTTTTCATGTACATTATTGGTTATCAGACTGAGGCTGAGGTTAACCTACCAACAAATATCACTCAGAACTTAAGGTATCTTTTTTGAATTGTAGCCTGAGACGACACACAATTTTTAAGGGTGATTTTGGGGATTTAAAGGTTGTCTTATATGCAAAAATAATCGGTAATTTCATGATTTAACGGTAAAATTATATAATTTAATGATAAAATTATTTAATTTAATGGTAAAATTATATAATTAAATGGTAAAATTATATAATTTAATGGTAACATTATATAATTTAATGGTAAATTATATAATTTAATGGTAACATTATATAATTTAATGATAAAATTATATAATTTAATGGTAACATTATATAATTTAATGGTAACATTATATAATTTAATGGTAACATTATATAATTTAATGATACAATTATATAATTTAATGATAAAATTATATAATTTAATGGTAAAATTATATAATTTAATGTATATCAAGATCAAAAGAATTCATATTGTAGGAGAGTTATAACTCTGACATAAATAATTATAACCAAATAATTATAACAATTATAACCCTTAGATGCTGGCAGCTGATCTCTCCTCTGATCAAGCTCTAACAGCTTAGTGAGGAAAAATTGTTTGGTTACATACAATGCCTCAAAATCTGAAGTAGTTACTGAATGGCTTGTTAATTTTAATGCCTCCAAAAGTAAACTACTCTCTATTAATCATCTGAGAGACTTTTTTCTGTCTTCCTTGATAAAATCTAAAGAAGAGCGAGCAATATTATTGGCCCTGATCTGGTGTCTCGACTTCAGTCACTTTCTCACCACCATAAAGCTGCCTCTCTATGCCTTTTCTATAAATACATTAGAGACAAATGAGGTATTATGGTGGATGCAAGGTAAGTAAGAATGTGTTGTTTTGTGTTAACGACAAGCAATGTCCCTTTAATTTATTTTTTGGCCTTGTAAATTGTATAACTGTGTTGGGAGAAGAAGTCTATATTCAAATAACTGTTTGTTAACGCAAAATATCTATATTTTGCATTCGTTTTAACTGTTAGAGCTTTTTACAAATTATGATGTTTTAGTCGCAATCAGGTGGTCCTCGGTCCTAGTATAGTGGTGAGTATCCCCGCCTGTCACGCGGGAGAGACCGGGTTCGATTCCCCGCCGGGGAGCATTTAAAATGTTTTCTTTCATTGATTTTAGCTTGCAAAAAGAATTTTTTTTTTTATAAATATTATGATCGTAGACGATCGAGAGAAGTTCTCCTCGGTAGTATAGTGGTGAGTATCCCCGCCTGTCACGCGGGAGACCGGGGTTCGATTCCCCGCCGGGGAGCCTCTTTATTCTTTTGTTTCTTTCACTCGTCCCTATATCACATACCCATCCTATAACGGTAAACTGTTAACGCACATTCGACGCTGATGCTTACGACACTTCACATTTGTGTAGTTGTAAGACCTAAAAATTTCATGTCGAATGTGTTTAACTTTTACACACTAAAATGAACTTTTCCTGCAACTGATGAGATCATTTAGATTATAAAATTCCTCCAACGGTAAGGAGAATTGAATTTCGTGTTCATCTCTCGACTCACTGAAAATGTCTATTAATTCTGATTGCACACGCTCCAAGTGATACAATGTTTGTATATTACTGAACATACTCTAAACAGATTGACACGTATGTTGAAATGGGACAATAAGTGATAATTTTTTTTTAAATGTTCTATCGAATGTTTTACCTGACAATATCCGTTATCGACGACATATAATCAGAATATTTTGTTGTGTGTTTTAAATACGATACAACATTTTCCACATATGTATGTTACGGAAATATAGAAAACGTGTATTTATTGGCGTCTTTTTATAAAAATTCCGCTGTGTACGAGAGAAATGCAAGTTTTTGAGATAAAATGCATTTCTAATCCAAGTTGTGGCCAGATACAGATCGGCCGAATCCGATTTCGTAGGAATAACCTAAATGAATCTGGAATAGGAGGGCAGGCATGTAAGTTCAAATAACTTGAGCAGCTTTTGTCTAACGACAACAATGTCCCTTTAATTTATTTTTCCTATAAATTGTATAACTGTGTTGGGAGAAGAAGTCTATAGCGCTGTTTGTTAGCGCAAAATATCTATGCTTGCATTCGTTTTAAGTTAGAGCTTTTTACATATTATGATGTGAAGTCGCAATCAGGTGGTCCTCGGTAGTATAGTGGTGAGTATCCCCGCCTGTCACGCGGGAGACCGGGGTTCGATTCCCCGCCGGGGAGCATTTAAAATGTTTTCTTTCATTGATTTTAGCTTGCAAAAGAATTTTTTATTTTTTTTATAAATATTATGATCGTAGACGATCGAGAGAAGTTCTCCTCGGTAGTATAGTGGTGAGTATCCCCGCCTGTCACGCGGGAGACCGGGGTTCGATTCCCCGCCGGGGAGCCTCTTTATTCTTTTTTGTTTCTTTCACTCGTCCCTATATCACATACCCATCCTATAACGGTAAACTGTTAACGCACATTCGACGCTGATGCTTACGACACTTCACATTTGTGTAGTTGTAAGACCTAAAGAATTTCATGTCGAATGTGTTTAACTTTTACACACTAAAATGAACTTTTCCTGCAACTGATGAGATCATTTAGATTATAAAATTCCTCCAACGGTAAGGAGAATTGAATTTCGTGTTCATCTCTCGACTCACTGAAAATGTCTATTAATTCTGATTGCACACGCTCCAAGTGATACAATGTTTGTATATTACTGAACATACTCTAAACAGATTGACACGTATGTTGAAATGGGACAATAAGTGATAATTTTTTTTATTAAATGTTCTATCGAATGTTTTACCTGACAATATCCGTTATCGACGACATATAATCAGAATATTTTGTTGTGTGTTTTAAATACGATACAACATTTTCCACATATGTATGTTACGGAAATATAGAAAACGTGTATTTATTGGCGTCTTTTTATAAAAATTCCGCTGTGTACGAGAGAAATGCAAGTTTTTGAGATAAAATGCATTTCTAATCCAAGTTGTGGCCAGATACAGATCGGCCGAATCCGATTTCGTAGGAATAACCTAAATGAAACTGGAATAGGAGGGCAGGCATGTAAGTTCAAATAACTTGAGCAGCTTTTGTCTAACGACAACAATGTCCCTTTAATTTATTTTTCCTATAAATTGTATAACTGTGTTGGGAGAAGAAGTCTATAGCGCTGTTTGTTAGCGCAAAATATCTATGCTTGCATTCGTTTTAAGTTAGAGCTTTTTACATATTATGATGTGAAGTCGCAATCAGGTGGTCCTCGGTAGTATAGTGGTGAGTATCCCCGCCTGTCACGCGGGAGACCGGGGTTCGATTCCCCGCCGGGGAGCATTTAAAATGTTTTCTTTCATTGATTTTAGCTTGCAAAAGAATTTTTTATTTTTTTTTATAAATATTATGATCGTAGACGATCGAGAGAAGTTCTCCTCGGTAGTATAGTGGTGAGTATCCCCGCCTGTCACGCGGGAGACCGGGGTTCGATTCCCCGCCGGGGAGCCTCTTTATTCTTTTGTTTCTTTCACTCGTCCCTATATCACATACCCATCCTATAACGGTAAACTGTTAACGCACGTTCGACGCTGATGCTTACGACACTTCACATTTGTGTAGTTGTAAGACCTAAAGAATTTCATGTCGAATGTGTTTAACTTTTACACACTAAAATGAACTTTTCCTGCAACTGATGAGATCATTTAGATTATAAAATTCCTCCAACGGTAAGGAGAATTGAATTTCGTGTTCATCTCTCGACTCACTGAAAATGTCTATTAATTCTGATTGCACACGCTCCAAGTGATACAATGTTTGTATATTACTGAACATACTCTAAACAGATTGACACGTATGTTGAAATGGGACAATAAGTGATAATTTTTTTTATTAAATGTTCTATCGAATGTTTTACCTGACAATATCCGTTATCGACGACATATAATCAGAATATTTTGTTGTGTGTTTTAAATACGATACAACATTTTCCACATATGTATGTTACGGAAATATAGAAAACGTGTATTTATTGGCGTCTTTTTATAAAAATTCCGCTGTGTACGAGAGAAATGCAAGTTTTTGAGATAAAATGCATTTCTAATCCAAGTTGTGGCCAGATACAGATCGGCCGAATCCGATTTCGTAGGAATAACCTAAATGAAACTGGAATAGGAGGGCAGGCATGTAAGTTCAAATAACTTGAGCAGCTTTTGTCTAACGACAACAATGTCCCTTTAATTTATTTTTCCTATAAATTGTATAACTGTGTTGGGAGAAGAAGTCTATAGCGCTGTTTGTTAGCGCAAAATATCTATGCTTGCATTCGTTTTAAGTTAGAGCTTTTTACATATTATGATGTGAAGTCGCAATCAGGTGGTCCTCGGTAGTATAGTGGTGAGTATCCCCGCCTGTCACGCGGGAGACCGGGGTTCGATTCCCCGCCGGGGAGCATTTAAAATGTTTTCTTTCATTGATTTTAGCTTGCAAAAGAATTTTTTATTTTTTTTTAAAATATTATGATCGTAGACGATCGAGAGAAGTTCTCCTCGGTAGTATAGTGGTGAGTATCCCCGCCTGTCACGCGGGAGACCGGGGTTCGATTCCCCGCCGGGGAGCCTCTTTATTCTTTTGTTTCTTTCACTCGTCCCTATATCACATACCCATCCTATAACGGTAAACTGTTAACGCACATTCGACGCTGATGCTTACGACACTTCACATTTGTGTAGTTGTAAGACCTAAAGAATTTCATGTCGAATGTGTTTAACTTTTACACACTAAAATGAACTTTTCCTGCAACTGATGAGATCATTTAGATTATAAAATTCCTCCAACGGTAAGGAGAATTGAATTTCGTGTTCATCTCTCGACTCACTGAAAATGTCTATTAATTCTGATTGCACACGCTCCAAGTGATACAATGTTTGTATATTACTGAACATACTCTAAACAGATTGACACGTATGTTGAAATGGGACAATAAGTGATAATTTTTTTTATTAAATGTTCTATCGAATGTTTTACCTGACAATATCCGTTATCGACGACATATAATCAGAATATTTTGTTGTGTGTTTTAAATACGATACAACATTTTCCACATATGTATGTTACGGAAATATAGAAAACGTGTATTTATTGGCGTCTTTTTATAAAAATTCCGCTGTGTACGAGAGAAATGCAAGTTTTTGAGATAAAATGCATTTCTAATCCAAGTTGTGGCCAGATATACAGATCGGCCGAATCCGATTTCGTAGGAATAACCTAAATGAAACTGGAATAGGAGGGCAGGCATGTAAGTTCAAATAACTTGAGCAGCTTTTGTCTAACGACAACAATGTCCCTTTAATTTATTTTTCCTATAAATTGTATAACTGTGTTGGGAGAAGAAGTCTATAGCGCTGTTTGTTAGCGCAAAATATCTATGCTTGCATTCGTTTTAAGTTAGAGCTTTTTACATATTATGATGTGAAGTCGCAATCAGGTGGTCCTCGGTAGTATAGTGGTGAGTATCCCCGCCTGTCACGCGGGAGACCGGGGTTCGATTCCCCGCCGGGGAGCATTTAAAATGTTTTCTTTCATTGATTTTAGCTTGCAAAAGAATTTTTTTATTTTTTTTATAAATATTATGATCGTAGACGATCGAGAGAAGTTCTCCTCGGTAGTATAGTGGTGAGTATCCCCGCCTGTCACGCGGGAGACCGGGGTTCGATTCCCCGCCGGGGAGCCTCTTTTTCTTTTTTGTTTCTTTCACTCGTCCCTATATCACATACCCATCCTATAACGGTAAACTGTTAACGCACGTTCGACGCTGATGCTTACGACACTTCACATTTGTGTAGTTGTAAGACCTAAAGAATTTCATGTCGAATGTGTTTAACTTTTACACACTAAAATGAACTTTTCCTGCAACTGATGAGATCATTTAGATTATAAAATTCCTCCAACGGTAAGGAGAATTGAATTTCGTGTTCATCTCTCGACTCACTGAAAATCTCTATTAATTCTGATTGCACACGCTCCAAGTGATACAATGTTTGTATATTACTGAACATACTCTAAACAGATTGACACGTATGTTGAAATGGGACAATAAGTGATAATTTTTTTTATTAAATGTTCTATCGAATGTTTTACCTGACAATATCCGTTATCGACGACATATAATCAGAATATTTTGTTGTGTGTTTTAAATACGATACAACATTTTCCACATATGTATGTTACGGAAATATAGAAAACGTGTATTTATTGGCGTCTTTTATAAAAATTCCGCTGTGTACGAGAGAAATGCAAGTTTTTGAGATAAAATGCATTTCTAATCCAAGTTGTGGCCAGATACAGATCGGCCGAATCCGATTTCGTAGGAATAACCTAAATGAAACTGGAATAGGAGGGCAGGCATGTAAGTTCAAATAACTTGAGCAGCTTTTGTCTAACGACAACAATGTCCCTTTAATTTATTTTTCCTATAAATTGTATAACTGTGTTGGGAGAAGAAGTCTATAGCGCTGTTTGTTAGCGCAAAATATCTATGCTTGCATTCGTTTTAAGTTAGAGCTTTTTACATATTATGATGTGAAGTCGCAATCAGGTGGTCCTCGGTAGTATAGTGGTGAGTATCCCCGCCTGTCACGCGGGAGACCGGGGTTCGATTCCCCGCCGGGGAGCATTTAAAATGTTTTCTTTCATTGATTTTAGCTTGCAAAAGAATTTTTTTTTTTTTTTTATAAATATTATGATCGTAGACGATCGAGAGAAGTTCTCCTCGGTAGTATAGTGGTGAGTATCCCCGCCTGTCACGCGGGAGACCGGGGTTCGATTCCCCGCCGGGGAGCCTCTTTATTCTTTTGTTTCTTTCACTCGTCCCTATATCACATACCCATCCTATAACGGTAAACTGTTAACGCACGTTCGACGCTGATGCTTACGACACTTCACATTTGTGTAGTTGTAAGACCTAAAGAATTTCATGTCGAATGTGTTTAACTTTTACACACTAAAATGAACTTTTCCTGCAACTGATGAGATCATTTAGATTATAAAATTCCTCCAACGGTAAGGAGAATTGAATTTCGTGTTCATCTCTCGACTCACTGAAAATGTCTATTAATTCTGATTGCACACGCTCCAAGTGATACAATGTTTGTATATTACTGAACATACTCTAAACAGATTGACACGTATGTTGAAATGGGACAATAAGTGATAATTTTTTTTTTTATTAAATGTTCTATCGAATGTTTTACCTGACAATATCCGTTATCGACGACATATAATCAGAATATTTTGTTGTGTGTTTTAAATACGATACAACATTTTCCACATATGTATGTTACGGAAATATAGAAAACGTGTATTTATTGGCGTCTTTTATAAAAATTCCGCTGTGTACGAGAGAAATGCAAGTTTTGAGATAAAATGCATTTCTAATCCAAGTTGTGGCCAGATACAGATCGGCCGAATCCGATTTCGTAGGAATAACCTAAATGAAACTGGAATAGGAGGGCAGGCATGTAAGTTCAAATAACTTGAGCAGCTTTTGTCTAACGACAACAATGTCCCTTTAATTTATTTTTCCTATAAATTGTATAACTGTGTTGGGAGAAGAAGTCTATAGCGCTGTTTGTTAGCGCAAAATATCTATGCTTGCATTCGTTTTAAGTTAGAGCTTTTTACATATTATGATGTGAAGTCGCAATCAGGTGGTCCTCGGTAGTATAGTGGTGAGTATCCCCGCCTGTCACGCGGGAGACCGGGGTTCGATTCCCCGCCGGGGAGCATTTAAAATGTTTTCTTTCATTGATTTTAGCTTGCAAAAGAATTTTTTATTTTTTTTATATAAATATTATGATCGTAGACGATCGAGAGAAGTTCTCCTCGGTAGTATAGTGGTGAGTATCCCCGCCTGTCACGCGGGAGACCGGGGTTCGATTCCCCGCCGGGGAGCCTCTTTATTCTTTTGTTTCTTTCACTCGTCCCTATATCACATACCCATCCTATAACGGTAAACTGTTAACGCACGTTCGACGCTGATGCTTACGACACTTCACATTTGTGTAGTTGTAAGACCTAAAAGAATTTCATGTCGAATGTGTTTAACTTTTACACACTAAAATGAACTTTTCCTGCAACTGATGAGATCATTTAGATTATAAAATTCCTCCAACGGTAAGGAGAATTGAATTTCGTGTTCATCTCTCGACTCACTGAAAATGTCTATTAATTCTGATTGCACACGCTCCAAGTGATACAATGTTTGTATATTACTGAACATACTCTAAACAGATTGACACGTATGTTGAAATGGGACAATAAGTGATAATTTTTTTTTAAAAATGTTCTATCGAATGTTTTACCTGACAATATCCGTTATCGACGACATATAATCAGAATATTTTGTTGTGTGTTTTAAATACGATACAACATTTTCCACATATGTATGTTACGGAAATATAGAAAACGTGTATTTATTGGCGTCTTTTTATAAAAATTCCGCTGTGTACGAGAGAAATGCAAGTTTTTGAGATAAAATGCATTTCTAATCCAAGTTGTGGCCAGATACAGATCGGCCGAATCCGATTTCGTAGGAATAACCTAAATGAAACTGGAATAGGAGGGCAGGCATGTAAGTTCAAATAACTTGAGCAGCTTTTGTCTAACGACAACAATGTCCCTTTAATTTATTTTTCCTATAAATTGTATAACTGTGTTGGGAGAAGAAGTCTATAGCGCTGTTTGTTAGCGCAAAATATCTATGCTTGCATTCGTTTTAAGTTAGAGCTTTTTACATATTATGATGTGAAGTCGCAATCAGGTGGTCCTCGGTAGTATAGTGGTGAGTATCCCCGCCTGTCACGCGGGAGACCGGGGTTCGATTCCCCGCCGGGGAGCATTTAAAATGTTTTCTTTCATTGATTTTAGCTTGCAAAAGAATTTTTTTTTTTTTTTATAAATATTATGATCGTAGACGATCGAGAGAAGTTCTCCTCGGTAGTATAGTGGTGAGTATCCCCGCCTGTCACGCGGGAGACCGGGGTTCGATTCCCCGCCGGGGAGCCTCTTTATTCTTTTGTTTCTTTCACTCGTCCCTATATCACATACCCATCCTATAACGGTAAACTGTTAACGCACATTCGACGCTGATGCTTACGACACTTCACATTTGTGTAGTTGTAAGACCTAAAAATTTCATGTCGAATGTGTTTAACTTTTACACACTAAAATGAACTTTTCCTGCAACTGATGAGATCATTTAGATTATAAAATTCCTCCAACGGTAAGGAGAATTGAATTTCGTGTTCATCTCTCGACTCACTGAAAATGTCTATTAATTCTGATTGCACACGCTCCAAGTGATACAATGTTTGTATATTACTGAACATACTCTAAACAGATTGACACGTATGTTGAAATGGGACAATAAGTGATAATTTTTTTATTAAATGTTCTATCGAATGTTTTACCTGACAATATCCGTTATCGACGACATATAATCAGAATATTTTGTTGTGTGTTTTAAATACGATACAACATTTTCCACATATGTATGTTACGGAAATATAGAAAACGTGTATTTATTGGCGTCTTTTTATAAAAATTCCGCTGTGTACGAGAGAAATGCAAGTTTTTGAGATAAAATGCATTTCTAATCCAAGTTGTGGCCAGATACAGATCGGCCGAATCCGATTTCGTAGGAATAACCTAAATGAAACTGGAATAGGAGGGCAGGCATGTAAGTTCAAATAACTTGAGCAGCTTTTGTCTAACGACAACAATGTCCCTTTAATTTATTTTTCCTATAAATTGTATAACTGTGTTGGGAGAAGAAGTCTATAGCGCTGTTTGTTAGCGCAAAATATCTATGCTTGCATTCGTTTTAAGTTAGAGCTTTTTACATATTATGATGTGAAGTCGCAATCAGGTGGTCCTCGGTAGTATAGTGGTGAGTATCCCCGCCTGTCACGCGGGAGACCGGGGTTCGATTCCCCGCCGGGGAGCATTTAAAATGTTTTCTTTCATTGATTTTAGCTTGCAAAAGAATTTTTTTATTTTTTTTTATAAATATTATGATCGTAGACGATCGAGAGAAGTTCTCCTCGGTAGTATAGTGGTGAGTATCCCCGCCTGTCACGCGGGAGACCGGGGAGCCTCTTTATTCTTTTGTTTCTTTCACTCGTCCCTATATCACATACCCATCCTATAACGGTAAACTGTTAACGCACGTTCGACGCTGATGCTTACGACACTTCACATTTGTGTAGTTGTAAGACCTAAAGAATTTCATGTCGAATGTGTTTAACTTTTACACACTAAAATGAACTTTTCCTGCAACTGATGAGATCATTTAGATTATAAAATTCCTCCAACGGTAAGGAGAATTGAATTTCGTGTTCATCTCTCGACTCACTGAAAATGTCTATTAATTCTGATTGCACACGCTCCAAGTGATACAATGTTTGTATATTACTGAACATACTCTAAACAGATTGACACGTATGTTGAAATGGGACAATAAGTGATAATTTTTTTTATTAAATGTTCTATCGAATGTTTTACCTGACAATATCCGTTATCGACGACATATAATCAGAATATTTTGTTGTGTGTTTTAAATACGATACAACATTTTCCACATATGTATGTTACGGAAATATAGAAAACGTGTATTTATTGGCGTCTTTTTATAAAAATTCTTCTGTGTACGAGAGAAATGCAAGTTTTTGAGATAAAATGCATTTCTAATCCAAGTTGTGGCCAGATACAGATCGGCCGAATCCGATTTCGTAGGAATAACCTAAATGAAACTGGAATAGGAGGGCAGGCATGTAAGTTCAAATAACTTGAGCAGCTTTTGTCTAACGACAACAATGTCCCTTTAATTTATTTTTCCTATAAATTGTATAACTGTGTTGGGAGAAGAAGTCTATAGCGCTGTTTGTTAGCGCAAAATATCTATGCTTGCATTCGTTTTAAGTTAGAGCTTTTTACATATTATGATGTGAAGTCGCAATCAGGTGGTCCTCGGTAGTATAGTGGTGAGTATCCCCGCCTGTCACGCGGGAGACCGGGGTTCGATTCCCCGCCGGGGAGCATTTAAAATGTTTTCTTTCATTGATTTTAGCTTGCAAAAGAATTTTTTTTTATAAATATTATGATCGTAGACGAGCGAGAGAAGTTCTCCTCGGTAGTATAGTGGTGAGTATCCCCGCCTGTCACGCGGGAGACCGGGGTTCGATTCCCCGCCGGGGAGCCTCTTTATTCTTTTGTTTCTTTCACTCGTCCCTATATCACATACCCATCCTATAACGGTAAACTGTTAACGCACGTTCGACGCTGATGCTTACGACACTTCACATTTGTGTAGTTGTAAGACCTAAAGAATTTCATGTCGAATGTGTTTAACTTTTACACACTAAAATGAACTTTTCCTGCAACTGATGAGATCATTTAGATTATAAAATTCCTCCAACGGTAAGGAGAATTGAATTTCGTGTTCATCTCTCGACTCACTGAAAATGTCTATTAATTCTGATTGCACACGCTCCAAGTGATACAATGTTTGTATATTACTGAACATACTCTAAACAGATTGACACGTATGTTGAAATGGGACAATAAGTGATAATTTTTTTTATTAAATGTTCTATCGAATGTTTTACCTGACAATATCCGTTATCGACGACATATAATCAGAATATTTTGTTGTGTGTTTTAAATACGATACAACATTTTCCACATATGTATGTTACGGAAATATAGAAAACGTGTATTTATTGGCGTCTTTTTATAAAAATTCCGCTGTGTACGAGAGAAATGCAAGTTTTTGAGATAAAATGCATTTCTAATCCAAGTTGTGGCCAGATACAGATCGGCCGAATCCGATTTCGTAGGAATAACCTAAATGAAACTGGAATAGGAGGGCAGGCATGTAAGTTCAAATAACTTGAGCAGCTTTTGTCTAACGACAACAATGTCCCTTTAATTTATTTTTCCTATAAATTGTATAACTGTGTTGGGAGAAGAAGTCTATAGCGCTGTTTGTTAGCGCAAAATATCTATGCTTGCATTCGTTTTAAGTTAGAGCTTTTTACATATTATGATGTGAAGTCGCAATCAGGTGGTCCTCGGTAGTATAGTGGTGAGTATCCCCGCCTGTCACGCGGGAGACCGGGGTTCGATTCCCCGCCGGGGAGCATTTAAAATGTTTTCTTTCATTGATTTTAGCTTGCAAAAGAATTTTTTTTTTTTTTTTATAAATATTATGATCGTAGACGATCGAGAGAAGTTCTCCTCGGTAGTATAGTGGTGAGTATCCCCGCCTGTCACGCGGGAGACCGGGGTTCGATTCCCCGCCGGGGAGCCTCTTTATTCTTTTGTTTCTTTCACTCGTCCCTATATCACATACCCATCCTATAACGGTAAACTGTTAACGCACGTTCGACGCTGATGCTTACGACACTTCACATTTGTGTAGTTGTAAGACCTAAAGAATTTCATGTCGAATGTGTTTAACTTTTACACACTAAAATGAACTTTTCCTGCAACTGATGAGATCATTTAGATTATAAAATTCCTCCAACGGTAAGGAGAATTGAATTTCGTGTTCATCTCTCGACTCACTGAAAATGTCTATTAATTCTGATTGCACACGCTCCAAGTGATACAATGTTTGTATATTACTGAACATACTCTAAACAGATTGACACGTATGTTGAAATGGGACAATAAGTGATAATTTTTTTTTATTAAATGTTCTATCGAATGTTTTACCTGACAATATCCGTTATCGACGACATATAATCAGAATATTTTGTTGTGTGTTTTAAATACGATACAACATTTTCCACATATGTATGTTACGGAAATATAGAAAACGTGTATTTATTGGCGTCTTTTTATAAAAATTCCGCTGTGTACGAGAGAAATGCAAGTTTTTGAGATAAAATGCATTTCTAATCCAAGTTGTGGCCAGATACAGATCGGCCGAATCCGATTTCGTAGGAATAACCTAAATGAAACTGGAATAGGAGGGCAGGCATGTAAGTTCAAATAACTTGAGCAGCTTTTGTCTAACGACAACAATGTCCCTTTAATTTATTTTTCCTATAAATTGTATAACTGTGTTGGGAGAAGAAGTCTATAGCGCTGTTTGTTAGCGCAAAATATCTATGCTTGCATTCGTTTTAAGTTAGAGCTTTTTACATATTATGATGTGAAGTCGCAATCAGGTGGTCCTCGGTAGTATAGTGGTGAGTATCCCCGCCTGTCACGCGGGAGACCGGGGTTCGATTCCCCGCCGGGGAGCATTTAAAATGTTTTCTTTCATTGATTTTAGCTTGCAAAAGAATTTTTTTATTTTTTTTTTATAAATATTATGATCGTAGACGATCGAGAGAAGTTCTCCTCGGTAGTATAGTGGTGAGTATCCCCGCCTGTCACGCGGGAGACCGGGGTTCGATTCCCCGCCGGGGAGCCTCTTTATTCTTTTGTTTCTTTCACTCGTCCCTATATCACATACCCATCCTATAACGGTAAACTGTTAACGCACATTCGACGCTGATGCTTACGACACTTCACATTTGTGTAGTTGTAAGACCTAAAGAATTTCATGTCGAATGTGTTTAACTTTTTACACACTAAAATGAACTTTTCCTGCAACTGATGAGATCATGTAGATTATAAAATTCCTCCAACGGTAAGGAGAATTGAATTTCGTGTTCATCTCTCGACTCACTGAAAATGTCTATTAATTCTGATTGCACACGCTCCAAGTGATACAATGTTTGTATATTACTGAACATACTCTAAACAGATTGACACGTATGTTGAAATGGGACAATAAGTGATAATTTTTTTTTATTAAATGTTCTATCGAATGTTTTACCTGACAATATCCGTTATCGACGACATATAATCAGAATATTTTGTTGTGTGTTTTAAATACGATACAACATTTTCCACATATGTATGTTACGGAAATATAGAAAACGTGTATTTATTGGCGTCTTTTATAAAAAAATTCCGCTGTGTACGAGAGAAATGCAAGTTTTTGAGATAAAATGCATTTCTAATCCAAGTTGTGGCCAGATACAGATCGGCCGAATCCGATTTCGTAGGAATAACCTAAATGAAACTGGAATAGGAGGGCAGGCATGTAAGTTCAAATAACTTGAGCAGCTTTTGTCTAACGACAACAATGTCCCTTTAATTTATTTTTCCTATAAATTGTATAACTGTGTTGGGAGAAGAAGTCTATAGCGCTGTTTGTTAGCGCAAAATATCTATGCTTGCATTCGTTTTAAGTTAGAGCTTTTTACATATTATGATGTGAAGTCGCAATCAGGTGGTCCTCGGTAGTATAGTGGTGAGTATCCCCGCCTGTCACGCGGGAGACCGGGGTTCGATTCCCCGCCGGGGAGCATTTAAAATGTTTTCTTTCATTGATTTTAGCTTGCAAAAGAATTTTTTTTTTTTTTTATAAATATTATGATCGTAGACGATCGAGAGAAGTTCTCCTCGGTAGTATAGTGGTGAGTATCCCCGCCTGTCACGCGGGAGACCGGGGTTCGATTCCCCGCCGGGGAGCCTCTTTATTCTTTTGTTTCTTTCACTCGTCCCTATATCACATACCCATCCTATAACGGTAAACTGTTAACGCACGTTCGACGCTGATGCTTACGACACTTCACATTTGTGTAGTTGTAAGACCTAAAGAATTTCATGTCGAATGTGTTTAACTTTTACACACTAAAATGAACTTTTCCTGCAACTGATGAGATCATTTAGATTATAAAATTCCTCCAACGGTAAGGAGAATTGAATTTCGTGTTCATCTCTCGACTCACTGAAAATGTCTATTAATTCTGATTGCACACGCTCCAAGTGATACAATGTTTGTATATTACTGAACATACTCTAAACAGATTGACACGTATGTTGAAATGGGACAATAAGTGATAATTTTTTTTATTAAATGTTCTATCGAATGTTTTACCTGACAATATCCGTTATCGACGACATATAATCAGAATATTTTGTTGTGTGTTTTAAATACGATACAACATTTTCCACATATGTATGTTACGGAAATATAGAAAACGTGTATTTATTGGCGTCTTTTTATAAAAATTCCGCTGTGTACGAGAGAAATGCAAGTTTTGAGATAAAATGCATTTCTAATCCAAGTTGTGGCCAGATACAGATCGGCCGAATCCGATTTCGTAGGAATAACCTAAATGAAACTGGAATAGGAGGGCAGGCATGTAAGTTCAAATAACTTGAGCAGCTTTTGTCTAACGACAACAATGTCCCTTTAATTTATTTTTCCTATAAATTGTATAACTGTGTTGGGAGAAGAAGTCTATAGCGCTGTTTGTTAGCGCAAAATATCTATGCTTGCATTCGTTTTAAGTTAGAGCTTTTTACATATTATGATGTGAAGTCGCAATCAGGTGGTCCTCGGTAGTATAGTGGTGAGTATCCCCGCCTGTCACGCGGGAGACCGGGGTTCGATTCCCCGCCGGGGAGCATTTAAAATGTTTTCTTTCATTGATTTTAGCTTGCAAAAGAATTTTTTTTTATAAATATTATGATCGTAGACGATCGAGAGAAGTTCTCCTCGGTATATAGTGGTGAGTATCCCCGCCTGTCACGCGGGAGACCGGGGTTCGATTCCCCGCCGGGGAGCCTCTTTATTCTTTTGTTTCTTTCACTCGTCCCTATATCACATACCCATCCTATAACGGTAAACTGTTAACGCACGTTCGACGCTGATGCTTACGACACTTCACATTTGTGTAGTTGTAAGACCTAAAGAATTTCATGTCGAATGTGTTTAACTTTTTTACACACTAAAATGAACTTTTCCTGCAACTGATGAGATCATTTAGATTATAAAATTCCTCCAACGGTAAGGAGAATTGAATTTCGTGTTCATCTCTCGACTCACTGAAAATGTCTATTAATTCTGATTGCACACGCTCCAAGTGATACAATGTTTGTATATTACTGAACATACTCTAAACAGATTGACACGTATGTTGAAATGGGACAATAAGTGATAATTTTTTTTATTAAATGTTCTATCGAATGTTTTACCTGACAATATCCGTTATCGACGACATATAATCAGAATATTTTGTTGTGTGTTTTAAATACGATACAACATTTTCCACATATGTATGTTACGGAAATATAGAAAACGTGTATTTATTGGCGTCTTTTTATAAAAATTCCGCTGTGTACGAGAGAAATGCAAGTTTTTGAGATAAAATGCATTTCTAATCCAAGTTGTGGCCAGATACAGATCGGCCGAATCCGATTTCGTAGGAATAACCTAAATGAAACTGGAATAGGAGGGCAGGCATGTAAGTTCAAATAACTTGAGCAGCTTTTGTCTAACGACAACAATGTCCCTTTAATTTATTTTTCCTATAAATTGTATAACTGTGTTGGGAGAAGAAGTCTATAGCGCTGTTTGTTAGCGCAAAATATCTATGCTTGCATTCGTTTTAAGTTAGAGCTTTTTACATATTATGATGTGAAGTCGCAATCAGGTGGTCCTCGGTAGTATAGTGGTGAGTATCCCCGCCTGTCACGCGGGAGACCGGGGTTCGATTCCCCGCCGGGGGAGCATTTAAAATGTTTTCTTTCATTGATTTTAGCTTGCAAAAGAATTTTTTATTTTTTTTTATAAATATTATGATCGTAGACGATCGAGAGAAGTTCTCCTCGGTAGTATAGTGGTGAGTATCCCCGCCTGTCACGCGGGAGACCGGGGTTCGATTCCCCGCCGGGGAGCCTCTTTATTCTTTTGTTTCTTTCACTCGTCCCTATATCACATACCCATCCTATAACGGTAAACTGTTAACGCACGTTCGACGCTGATGCTTACGACACTTCACATTTGTGTAGTTGTAAGACCTAAAGAATTTCATGTCGAATGTGTTTAACTTTTACACACTAAAATGAACTTTTCCTGCAACTGATGAGATCATTTAGATTATAAAATTCCTCCAACGGTAAGGAGAATTGAATTTCGTGTTCATCTCTCGACTCACTGAAAATGTCTATTAATTCTGATTGCACACGCTCCAAGTGATACAATGTTTGTATATTACTGAACATACTCTAAACAGATTGACACGTATGTTGAAATGGGACAATAAGTGATAATTTTTTTATTAAATGTTCTATCGAATGTTTTACCTGACAATATCCGTTATCGACGACATATAATCAGAATATTTTGTTGTGTGTTTTAAATACGATACAACATTTTCCACATATGTATGTTACGGAAATATAGAAAACGTGTATTTATTGGCGTCTTTTTAAAAAAATTCCGCTGTGTACGAGAGAAATGCAAGTTTTTGAGATAAAATGCATTTCTAATCCAAGTTGTGGCCAGATACAGATCGGCCGAATCCGATTTCGTAGGAATAACCTAAATGAAACTGGAATAGGAGGGCAGGCATGTAAGTTCAAATAACTTGAGCAGCTTTTGTCTAACGACAACAATGTCCCTTTAATTTATTTTTCCTATAAATTGTATAACTGTGTTGGGAGAAGAAGTCTATAGCGCTGTTTGTTAGCGCAAAATATCTATGCTTGCATTCGTTTTAAGTTAGAGCTTTTTACATATTATGATGTGAAGTCGCAATCAGGTGGTCCTCGGTAGTATAGTGGTGAGTATCCCCGCCTGTCACGCGGGAGACCGGGGTTCGATTCCCCGCCGGGGAGCATTTAAAATGTTTTCTTTCATTGATTTTAGCTTGCAAAAGAATTTTTTTTTTTTTTTTTATAAATATTATGATCGTAGACGATCGAGAGAAGTTCTCCTCGGTAGTATAGTGGTGAGTATCCCCGCCTGTCACGCGGGAGACCGGGGTTCGATTCCCCGCCGGGGAGCCTCTTTATTCTTTTGTTTCTTTCACTCGTCCCTATATCACATACCCATCCTATAACGGTAAACTGTTAACGCACATTCGACGCTGATGCTTACGACACTTCACATTTGTGTAGTTGTAAGACCTAAAGAATTTCATGTCGAATGTGTTTAACTTTTACACACTAAAATGAACTTTTCCTGCAACTGATGAGATCATTTAGATTATAAAATTCCTCCAACGGTAAGGAGAATTGAATTTCGTGTTCATCTCTCGACTCACTGAAAATGTCTATTAATTCTGATTGCACACGCTCCAAGTGATACAATGTTTGTATATTACTGAACATACTCTAAACAGATTGACACGTATGTTGAAATGGGACAATAAGTGATAATTTTTTTTTATTAAATGTTCTATCGAATGTTTTACCTGACAATATCCGTTATCGACGACATATAATCAGAATATTTTGTTGTGTGTTTTTTAATACGATACAACATTTTCCACATATGTATGTTACGGAAATATAGAAAACGTGTATTTATTGGCGTCTTTTATAAAAATTCCGCTGTGTACGAGAGAAATGCAAGTTTTTGAGATAAAATGCATTTCTAATCCAAGTTGTGGCCAGATACAGATCGGCCGAATCCGATTTCGTAGGAATAACCTAAATGAAACTGGAATAGGAGGGCAGGCATGTAAGTTCAAATAACTTGAGCAGCTTTTGTCTAACGACAACAATGTCCCTTTAATTTATTTTTCCTATAAATTGTATAACTGTGTTGGGAGAAGAAGTCTATAGCGCTGTTTGTTAGCGCAAAATATCTATGCTTGCATTCGTTTTAAGTTAGAGCTTTTTATATTATGATGTGAAGTCGCAATCAGGTGGTCCTCGGTAGTATAGTGGTGAGTATCCCCGCCTGTCACGCGGGAGACCGGGGTTCGATTCCCCCGCCGGGGAGCATTTAAAATGTTTTCTTTCATTGATTTTAGCTTGCAAAAGAATTTTTTTTTTTTTTTTTTAAATATTATGATCGTAGACGATCGAGAGAAGTTCTCCTCGGTAGTATAGTGGTGAGTATCCCCGCCTGTCACGCGGGAGACCGGGGTTCGATTCCCCGCCGGGGAGCCTCTTTATTCTTTTGTTTCTTTCACTCGTCCCTATATCACATACCCATCCTATAACGGTAAACTGTTAACGCACGTTCGACGCTGATGCTTACGACACTTCACATTTGTGTAGTTGTAAGACCTAAAAGAATTTCATGTCGAATGTGTTTAACTTTTACACACTAAAATGAACTTTTCCTGCAACTGATGAGATCATTTAGATTATAAAATTCCTCCAACGGTAAGGAGAATTGAATTTCGTGTTCATCTCTCGACTCACTGAAAATGTCTATTAATTCTGATTGCACACGCTCCAAGTGATACAATGTTTGTATATTACTGAACATACTCTAAACAGATTGACACGTATGTTGAAATGGGACAATAAGTGATAATTTTTTTTTTAAATGTTCTATCGAATGTTTTACCTGACAATATCCGTTATCGACGACATATAATCAGAATATTTTGTTGTGTGTTTTAAATACGATACAACATTTTCCACATATGTATGTTACGGAAATATAGAAAACGTGTATTTATTGGCGTCTTTTTATAAAAATTCCGCTGTGTACGAGAGAAATGCAAGTTTTGAGATAAAATGCATTTCTAATCCAAGTTGTGGCCAGATACAGATCGGCCGAATCCGATTTCGTAGGAATAACCTAAATGAAACTGGAATAGGAGGGCAGGCATGTAAGTTCAAATAACTTGAGCAGCTTTTGTCTAACGACAACAATGTCCCTTTAATTTATTTTTCCTATAAATTGTATAACTGTGTTGGGAGAAGAAGTCTATAGCGCTGTTTGTTAGCGCAAAATATCTATGCTTGCATTCGTTTTAAGTTAGAGCTTTTTACATATTATGATGTGAAGTCGCAATCAGGTGGTCCTCGGTAGTATAGTGGTGAGTATCCCCGCCTGTCACGCGGGAGACCGGGGTTCGATTCCCCGCCGGGGAGCATTTAAAATGTTTTCTTTCATTGATTTTAGCTTGCAAAAGAATTTTTTTATTTTTTTTTATAAATATTATGATCGTAGACGATCGAGAGAAGTTCTCCTCGGTAGTATAGTGGTGAGTATCCCCGCCTGTCACGCGGGAGACCGGGGTTCGATTCCCCGCCGGGGAGCCTCTTTATTCTTTTGTTTCTTTCACTCGTCCCTATATCACATACCCATCCTATAACGGTAAACTGTTAACGCACATTCGACGCTGATGCTTACGACACTTCACATTTGTGTAGTTGTAAGACCTAAAGAATTTCATGTCGAATGTGTTTAACTTTTACACACTAAAATGAACTTTTCCTGCAACTGATGAGATCATTTAGATTATAAAATTCCTCCAACGGTAAGGAGAATTGAATTTCGTGTTCATCTCTCGACTCACTGAAAATGTCTATTAATTCTGATTGCACACGCTCCAAGTGATACAATGTTTGTATATTACTGAACATACTCTAAACAGATTGACACGTATGTTGAAATGGGACAATAAGTGATAATTTTTTTTATTAAATGTTCTATCGAATGTTTTACCTGACAATATCCGTTATCGACGACATATAATCAGAATATTTTGTTGTGTGTTTTAAATACGATACAACATTTTCCACATATGTATGTTACGGAAATATAGAAAACGTGTATTTATTGGCGTCTTTTATAAAAAATTCCGCTGTGTACGAGAGAAATGCAAGTTTTTGAGATAAAATGCATTTCTAATCCAAGTTGTGGCCAGATACAGATCGGCCGAATCCGATTTCGTAGGAATAACCTAAATGAAACTGGAATAGGAGGGCAGGCATGTAAGTTCAAATAACTTGAGCAGCTTTTGTCTAACGACAACAATGTCCCTTTAATTTATTTTTCCTATAAATTGTATAACTGTGTTGGGAGAAGAAGTCTATAGCGCTGTTTGTTAGCGCAAAATATCTATGCTTGCATTCGTTTTAAGTTAGAGCTTTTTACATATTATGATGTGAAGTCGCAATCAGGTGGTCCTCGGTAGTATAGTGGTGAGTATCCCCGCCTGTCACGCGGGAGACCGGGGTTCGATTCCCCGCCGGGGAGCATTTAAAATGTTTTCTTTCATTGATTTTAGCTTGCAAAAGAATTTTTTTTTTTTTTTATAAATATTATGATCGTAGACGATCGAGAGAAGTTCTCCTCGGTAGTATAGTGGTGAGTATCCCCGCCTGTCACGCGGGAGACCGGGGTTCGATTCCCCGCCGGGGAGCCTCTTTATTCTTTTGTTTCTTTCACTCGTCCCTATATCACATACCCATCCTATAACGGTAAACTGTTAACGCACATTCGACGCTGATGCTTACGACACTTCACATTTGTGTAGTTGTAAGACCTAAAGAATTTCATGTCGAATGTGTTTAACTTTTACACACTAAAATGAACTTTTCCTGCAACTGATGAGATCATTTAGATTATAAAATTCCTCCAACGGTAAGGAGAATTGAATTTCGTGTTCATCTCTCGACTCACTGAAAATGTCTATTAATTCTGATTGCACACGCTCCAAGTGATACAATGTTTGTATATTACTGAACATACTCTAAACAGATTGACACGTATGTTGAAATGGGACAATAAGTGATAATTTTTTTTTTAAATGTTCTATCGAATGTTTTACCTGACAATATCCGTTATCGACGACATATAATCAGAATATTTTGTTGTGTGTTTTAAATACGATACAACATTTTCCACATATGTATGTTACGGAAATATAGAAAACGTGTATTTATTGGCGTCTTTTTAAAAAATTCCGCTGTGTACGAGAGAAATGCAAGTTTTTGAGATAAAATGCATTTCTAATCCAAGTTGTGGCCAGATACAGATCGGCCGAATCCGATTTCGTAGGAATAACCTAAATGAAACTGGAATAGGAGGGCAGGCATGTAAGTTCAAATAACTTGAGCAGCTTTTGTCTAACGACAACAATGTCCCTTTAATTTATTTTTCCTATAAATTGTATAACTGTGTTGGGAGAAGAAGTCTATAGCGCTGTTTGTTAGCGCAAAATATCTATGCTTGCATTCGTTTTAAGTTAGAGCTTTTTACATATTATGATGTGAAGTCGCAATCAGGTGGTCCTCGGTAGTATAGTGGTGAGTATCCCCGCCTGTCACGCGGGAGACCGGGGTTCGATTCCCCGCCGGGGAGCATTTAAAATGTTTTCTTTCATTGATTTTAGCTTGCAAAAGAATTTTTTTTTATAAATATTATGATCGTAGACGAGCGAGAGAAGTTCTCGGTAGTATAGTGGTGAGTATCCCCGCCTGTCACGCGGGAGACCGGGGTTCGATTCCCCGCCGGGGAGCCTCTTTGTTCTTTTGTTTCTTTCACTCGTCCCTATATCACATACCCATCCTATAACGGTAAACTGTTAACGCACATTCGACGCTGATGCTTACGACACTTCACATTTGTGTAGTTGTAAGACCTAAAGAATTTCATGTCGAATGTGTTTAACTTTTACACACTAAAATGAACTTTTCCTGCAACTGATGAGATCATTTAGATTATAAAATTCCTCCAACGGTAAGGAGAATTGAATTTCGTGTTCATCTCTCGACTCACTGAAAATGTCTATTAATTCTGATTGCACACGCTCCAAGTGATACAATGTTTGTATATTACTGAACATACTCTAAACAGATTGACACGTATGTTGAAATGGGACAATAAGTGATAATTTTTTTTATTAAATGTTCTATCGAATGTTTTACCTGACAATATCCGTTATCGACGACATATAATCAGAATATTTTGTTGTGTGTTTTAAATACGATACAACATTTTCCACATATGTATGTTACGGAAATATAGAAAACGTGTATTTATTGGCGTCTTTTTATAAAAATTCTTCTGTGTACGAGAGAAATGCAAGTTTTTGAGATAAAATGCATTTCTAATCCAAGTTGTGGCCAGATACAGATCGGCCGAATCCGATTTCGTAGGAATAACCTAAATGAAACTGGAATAGGAGGGCAGGCATGTAAGTTCAAATAACTTGAGCAGCTTTTGTCTAACGACAACAATGTCCCTTTAATTTATTTTTCCTATAAATTGTATAACTGTGTTGGGAGAAGAAGTCTATAGCGCTGTTTGTTAGCGCAAAATATCTATGCTTGCATTCGTTTTAAGTTAGAGCTTTTTACATATTATGATGTGAAGTCGCAATCAGGTGGTCCTCGGTAGTATAGTGGTGAGTATCCCCGCCTGTCACGCGGGAGACCGGGGTTCGATTCCCCGCCGGGGAGCATTTAAAATGTTTTCTTTCATTGATTTTAGCTTGCAAAAGAATTTTTTTTTTTTTTTATAAATATTATGATCGTAGACGATCGAGAGAAGTTCTCCTCGGTAGTATAGTGGTGAGTATCCCCGCCTGTCACGCGGGAGACCGGGGTTCGATTCCCCGCCGGGGAGCCTCTTTTATTCTTTTTTTTCTTTCACTCGTCCCTATATCACATACCCATCCTATAACGGTAAACTGTTAACGCACATTCGACGCTGATGCTTACGACACTTCACATTTGTGTAGTTGTAAGACCTAAAAATTTCATGTCGAATGTGTTTAACTTTTACACACTAAAATGAACTTTTCCTGCAACTGATGAGATCATTTAGATTATAAAATTCCTCCAACGGTAAGGAGAATTGAATTTCGTGTTCATCTCTCGACTCACTGAAAATGTCTATTAATTCTGATTGCACACGCTCCAAGTGATACAATGTTTGTATATTACTGAACATACTCTAAACAGATTGACACGTATGTTGAAATGGGACAATAAGTGATAATTTTTTTTATTAAATGTTCTATCGAATGTTTTACCTGACAATATCCGTTATCGACGACATATAATCAGAATATTTTGTTGTGTGTTTTAAATACGATACAACATTTTCCACATATGTATGTTACGGAAATATAGAAAACGTGTATTTATTGGCGTCTTTTTATAAAAATTCCGCTGTGTACGAGAGAAATGCAAGTTTTGAGATAAAATGCATTTCTAATCCAAGTTGTGGCCAGATACAGATCGGCCGAATCCGATTTCGTAGGAATAACCTAAATGAAACTGGAATAGGAGGGCAGGCATGTAAGTTCAAATAACTTGAGCAGCTTTTGTCTAACGACAACAATGTCCCTTTAATTTATTTTTCCTATAAATTGTATAACTGTGTTGGGAGAAGAAGTCTATAGCGCTGTTTGTTAGCGCAAAATATCTATGCTTGCATTCGTTTTAAGTTAGAGCTTTTTACATATTATGATGTGAAGTCGCAATCAGGTGGTCCTCGGTAGTATAGTGGTGAGTATCCCCGCCTGTCACGCGGGAGACCGGGGTTCGATTCCCCGCCGGGGAGCATTTAAAATGTTTTCTTTCATTGATTTTAGCTTGCAAAAGAATTTTTTTTTTTTTTAAAATATTATGATCGTAGACGATCGAGAGAAGTTCTCCTCGGTAGTATAGTGGTGAGTATCCCCGCCTGTCACGCGGGAGACCGGGGTTCGATTCCCCGCCGGGGAGCCTCTTTTATTCTTTTGTTTCTTTCACTCGTCCCTATATCACATACCCATCCTATAACGGTAAACTGTTAACGCACATTCGACGCTGATGCTTACGACACTTCACATTTGTGTAGTTGTAAGACCTAAAAAATTTCATGTCGAATGTGTTTAACTTTTACACACTAAAATGAACTTTTCCTGCAACTGATGAGATCATTTAGATTATAAAATTCCTCCAACGGTAAGGAGAATTGAATTTCGTGTTCATCTCTCGACTCACTGAAAATGTCTATTAATTCTGATTGCACACGCTCCAAGTGATACAATGTTTGTATATTACTGAACATACTCTAAACAGATTGACACGTATGTTGAAATGGGACAATAAGTGATAATTTTTTTTATTAAATGTTCTATCGAATGTTTTACCTGACAATATCCGTTATCGACGACATATAATCAGAATATTTTGTTGTGTGTTTTAAATACGATACAACATTTTCCACATATGTATGTTACGGAAATATAGAAAACGTGTATTTATTGGCGTCTTTTTATAAAAATTCCGCTGTGTACGAGAGAAATGCAAGTTTTTGAGATAAAATGCATTTCTAATCCAAGTTGTGGCCAGATACAGATCGGCCGAATCCGATTTCGTAGGAATAACCTAAATGAAACTGGAATAGGAGGGCAGGCATGTAAGTTCAAATAACTTGAGCAGCTTTTGTCTAACGACAACAATGTCCCTTTAATTTATTTTTCCTATAAATTGTATAACTGTGTTGGGAGAAGAAGTCTATAGCGCTGTTTGTTAGCGCAAAATATCTATGCTTGCATTCGTTTTAAGTTAGAGCTTTTTACATATTATGATGTGAAGTCGCAATCAGGTGGTCCTCGGTAGTATAGTGGTGAGTATCCCCGCCTGTCACGCGGGAGACCGGGGTTCGATTCCCCGCCGGGGAGCATTTAAAATGTTTTCTTTCATTGATTTTAGCTTGCAAAAGAATTTTTTATTTTTTTTTATAAATATTATGATCGTAGACGATCGAGAGAAGTTCTCCTCGGTAGTATAGTGGTGAGTATCCCCGCCTGTCACGCGGGAGACCGGGGTTCGATTCCCCGCCGGGGAGCCTCTTTATTCTTTTGTTTCTTTCACTCGTCCCTATATCACATACCCATCCTATAACGGTAAACTGTTAACGCACATTCGACGCTGATGCTTACGACACTTCACATTTGTGTAGTTGTAAGACCTAAAGAATTTCATGTCGAATGTGTTTAACTTTTACACACTAAAATGAACTTTTCCTGCAACTGATGAGATCATTTAGATTATAAAATTCCTCCAACGGTAAGGAGAATTGAATTTCGTGTTCATCTCTCGACTCACTGAAAATGTCTATTAATTCTGATTGCACACGCTCCAAGTGATACAATGTTTGTATATTACTGAACATACTCTAAACAGATTGACACGTATGTTGAAATGGGACAATAAGTGATAATTTTTTTTATTAAATGTTCTATCGAATGTTTTACCTGACAATATCCGTTATCGACGACATATAATCAGAATATTTTGTTGTGTGTTTTAAATACGATACAACATTTTCCACATATGTATGTTACGGAAATATAGAAAACGTGTATTTATTGGCGTCTTTTTATAAAAATTCCGCTGTGTACGAGAGAAATGCAAGTTTTTGAGATAAAATGCATTTCTAATCCAAGTTGTGGCCAGATACAGATCGGCCGAATCCGATTTCGTAGGAATAACCTAAATGAATCTGGAATAGGAGGGCAGGCATGTAAGTTCAAATAACTTGAGCAGCTTTTGTCTAACGACAACAATGTCCCTTTAATTTATTTTTCCTATAAATTGTATAACTGTGTTGGGAGAAGAAGTCTATAGCGCTGTTTGTTAGCGCAAAATATCTATGCTTGCATTCGTTTTAAGTTAGAGCTTTTTACATATTATGATGTGAAGTCGCAATCAGGTGGTCCTCGGTAGTATAGTGGTGAGTATCCCCGCCTGTCACGCGGGAGACCGGGGTTCGATTCCCCGCCGGGGAGCATTTAAAATGTTTTCTTTCATTGATTTTAGCTTGCAAAAGAATTTTTTTATTTTTTTTTATAAATATTATGATCGTAGACGATCGAGAGAAGTTCTCCTCGGTAGTATAGTGGTGAGTATCCCCGCCTGTCACGCGGGAGACCGGGGTTCGATTCCCCGCCGGGGAGCCTCTTTATTCTTTTTTGTTTCTTTCACTCGTCCCTATATCACATACCCATCCTATAACGGTAAACTGTTAACGCACATTCGACGCTGATGCTTACGACACTTCACATTTGTGTAGTTGTAAGACCTAAAAATTTCATGTCGAATGTGTTTAACTTTTACACACTAAAATGAACTTTTCCTGCAACTGATGAGATCATTTAGATTATAAAATTCCTCCAACGGTAAGGAGAATTGAATTTCGTGTTCATCTCTCGACTCACTGAAAATGTCTATTAATTCTGATTGCACACGCTCCAAGTGATACAATGTTTGTATATTACTGAACATACTCTAAACAGATTGACACGTATGTTGAAATGGGACAATAAGTGATAATTTTTTTTATTAAATGTTCTATCGAATGTTTTACCTGACAATATCCGTTATCGACGACATATAATCAGAATATTTTGTTGTGTGTTTTTTAAATACGATACAACATTTTCCACATATGTATGTTACGGAAATATAGAAAACGTGTATTTATTGGCGTCTTTTTATAAAAAATTCCGCTGTGTACGAGAGAAAATGCAAGTTTTTGAGATAAAATGCATTTCTAATCCAAGTTGTGGCCAGATACAGATCGGCCGAATCCGATTTCGTAGGAATAACCTAAATGAATCTGGAATAGGAGGGCAGGCATGTAAGTTCAAATAACTTGAGCAGCTTTTGTCTAACGACAACAATGTCCCTTTAATTTATTTTTCCTATAAATTGTATAACTGTGTTGGGAGAAGAAGTCTATAGCGCTGTTTGTTAGCGCAAAATATCTATGCTTGCATTCGTTTTAAGTTAGAGCTTTTTACATATTATGATGTGAAGTCGCAATCAGGTGGTCCTCGGTAGTATAGTGGTGAGTATCCCCGCCTGTCACGCGGGAGACCGGGGTTCGATTCCCCGCCGGGGAGCATTTAAAATGTTTTCTTTCATTGATTTTAGCTTGCAAAAGAATTTTTTTATTTTTTTTTATAAATATTATGATCGTAGACGATCGAGAGAAGTTCTCCTCGGTAGTATAGTGGTGAGTATCCCCGCCTGTCACGCGGGAGACCGGGGTTCGATTCCCCGCCGGGGAGCCTCTTTATTCTTTTGTTTCTTTCACTCGTCCCTATATCACATACCCATCCTATAACGGTAAACTGTTAACGCACATTCGACGCTGATGCTTACGACACTTCACATTTGTGTAGTTGTAAGACCTAAAGAATTTCATGTCGAATGTGTTTAACTTTTACACACTAAAATGAACTTTTCCTGCAACTGATGAGATCATTTAGATTATAAAATTCCTCCAACGGTAAGGAGAATTGAATTTCGTGTTCATCTCTCGACTCACTGAAAATGTCTATTAATTCTGATTGCACACGCTCCAAGTGATACAATGTTTGTATATTACTGAACATACTCTAAACAGATTGACACGTATGTTGAAATGGGACAATAAGTGATAATTTTTTTTATTAAATGTTCTATCGAATGTTTTACCTGACAATATCCGTTATCGACGACATATAATCAGAATATTTTGTTGTGTGTTTTAAATACGATACAACATTTTCCACATATGTATGTTACGGAAATATAGAAAACGTGTATTTATTGGCGTCTTTTTATAAAAATTCCGCTGTGTACGAGAGAAATGCAAGTTTTTGAGATAAAATGCATTTCTAATCCAAGTTGTGGCCAGATACAGATCGGCCGAATCCGATTTCGTAGGAATAACCTAAATGAAACTGGAATAGGAGGGCAGGCATGTAAGTTCAAATAACTTGAGCAGCTTTTGTCTAACGACAACAATGTCCCTTTAATTTATTTTTCCTATAAATTGTATAACTGTGTTGGGAGAAGAAGTCTATAGCGCTGTTTGTTAGCGCAAAATATCTATGCTTGCATTCGTTTTAAGTTAGAGCTTTTTACATATTATGATGTGAAGTCGCAATCAGGTGGTCCTCGGTAGTATAGTGGTGAGTATCCCCGCCTGTCACGCGGGAGACCGGGGTTCGATTCCCCGCCGGGGAGCATTTAAAATGTTTTCTTTCATTGATTTTAGCTTGCAAAAGAATTTTTTTATTTTTTTATAAATATTATGATCGTAGACGATCGAGAGAAGTTCTCCTCGGTAGTATAGTGGTGAGTATCCCCGCCTGTCACGCGGGAGACCGGGGTTCGATTCCCCGCCGGGGAGCCTCTTTATTCTTTTGTTTCTTTCACTCGTCCCTATATCACATACCCATCCTATAACGGTAAACTGTTAACGCACATTCGACGCTGATGCTTACGACACTTCACATTTTTGTGTAGTTGTAAGACCTAAAGAATTTCATGTCGAATGTGTTTAACTTTTACACACTAAAATGAACTTTTCCTGCAACTGATGAGATCATTTAGATTATAAAATTCCTCCAACGGTAAGGAGAATTGAATTTCGTGTTCATCTCTCGACTCACTGAAAATGTCTATTAATTCTGATTGCACACGCTCCAAGTGATACAATGTTTGTATATTACTGAACATACTCTAAACAGATTGACACGTATGTTGAAATGGGACAATAAGTGATAATTTTTTTTATTAAATGTTCTATCGAATGTTTTACCTGACAATATCCGTTATCGACGACATATAATCAGAATATTTTGTTGTGTGTTTTAAATACGATACAACATTTTCCACATATGTATGTTACGGAAATATAGAAAACGTGTATTTATTGGCGTCTTTTTATAAAAATTCCGCTGTGTACGAGAGAAATGCAAGTTTTTGAGATAAAATGCATTTCTAATCCAAGTTGTGGCCAGATACAGATCGGCCGAATCCGATTTCGTAGGAATAACCTAAATGAATCTGGAATAGGAGGGCAGGCATGTAAGTTCAAATAACTTGAGCAGCTTTTGTCTAACGACAACAATGTCCCTTTAATTTATTTTTCCTATAAATTGTATAACTGTGTTGGGAGAAGAAGTCTATAGCGCTGTTTGTTAGCGCAAAATATCTATGCTTGCATTCGTTTTAAGTTAGAGCTTTTTACATATTATGATGTGAAGTCGCAATCAGGTGGTCCTCGGTAGTATAGTGGTGAGTATCCCCGCCTGTCACGCGGGAGACCGGGGTTCGATTCCCCGCCGGGGAGCATTTAAAATGTTTTCTTTCATTGATTTTAGCTTGAAAAAGAATTTTTTTTTTTTTTTATAAATATTATGATCGTAGACGATCGAGAGAAGTTCTCCTCGGTAGTATAGTGGTGAGTATCCCCGCCTGTCACGCGGGAGACCGGGGTTCGATTCCCCCGCCGGAGCCTCTTTATTCTTTTGTTTCTTTCACTCGTCCCTATATCACATACCCATCCTATAACGGTAAACTGTTAACGCACATTCGACGCTGATGCTTACGACACTTCACATTTGTGTAGTTGTAAGACCTAAAGAATTTCATGTCGAATGTGTTTAACTTTTACACACTAAAATGAACTTTTCCTGCAACTGATGAGATCATTTAGATTATAAAATTCCTCCAACGGTAAGGAGAATTGAATTTCGTGTTCATCTCTCGACTCACTGAAAATGTCTATTAATTCTGATTGCACACGCTCCAAGTGATACAATGTTTGTATATTACTGAACATACTCTAAACAGATTGACACGTATGTTGAAATGGGACAATAAGTGATAATTTTTTTTTATTTAAATGTTCTATCGAATGTTTTACCTGACAATATCCGTTATCGACGACATATAATCAGAATATTTTGTTGTGTGTTTTAAATACGATACAACATTTTCCACATATGTATGTTACGGAAATATAGAAAACGTGTATTTATTGGCGTCTTTTTATAAAAATTCCGCTGTGTACGAGAGAAATGCAAGTTTTTGAGATAAAATGCATTTCTAATCCAAGTTGTGGCCAGATACAGATCGGCCGAATCCGATTTCGTAGGAATAACCTAAATGAATCTGGAATAGGAGGGCAGGCATGTAAGTTCAAATAACTTGAGCAGCTTTTGTCTAACGACAACAATGTCCCTTTAATTTATTTTTCCTATAAATTGTATAACTGTGTTGGGAGAAGAAGTCTATAGCGCTGTTTGTTAGCGCAAAATATCTATGCTTGCATTCGTTTTAAGTTAGAGCTTTTTACATATTATGATGTGAAGTCGCAATCAGGTGGTCCTCGGTAGTATAGTGGTGAGTATCCCCGCCTGTCACGCGGGAGACCGGGGTTCGATTCCCCGCCGGGGAGCATTTAAAATGTTTTCTTTCATTGATTTTAGCTTGCAAAAGAAATTTTTTTTTTTTTTTATAAATATTATGATCGTAGACGATCGAGAGAAGTTCTCCTCGGTAGTATAGTGGTGAGTATCCCCGCCTGTCACGCGGGAGACCGGGGTTCGATTCCCCGCCGGGGAGCCTCTTTATTCTTTTGTTTCTTTCACTCGTCCCTATATCACATACCCATCCTATAACGGTAAACTGTTAACGCACATTCGACGCTGATGCTTACGACACTTCACATTTGTGTAGTTGTAAGACCTAAAGAATTTCATGTCGAATGTGTTTAACTTTTACACACTAAAATGAACTTTTCCTGCAACTGATGAGATCATTTAGATTATAAAATTCCTCCAACGGTAAGGAGAATTGAATTTCGTGTTCATCTCTCGACTCACTGAAAATGTCTATTAATTCTGATTGCACACGCTCCAAGTGATACAATGTTTGTATATTACTGAACATACTCTAAACAGATTGACACGTATGTTGAAATGGGACAATAAGTGATAATTTTTTTTTATTAAATGTTCTATCGAATGTTTTACCTGACAATATCCGTTATCGACGACATATAATCAGAATATTTTGTTGTGTGTTTTAAATACGATACAACATTTTCCACATATGTATGTTACGGAAATATAGAAAACGTGTATTTATTGGCGTCTTTTTATAAAAATTCCGCTGTGTACGAGAGAAATGCAAGTTTTTGAGATAAAATGCATTTCTAATCCAAGTTGTGGCCAGATACAGATCGGCCGAATCCGATTTCGTAGGAATAACCTAAATGAATCTGGAATAGGAGGGCAGGCATGTAAGTTCAAATAACTTGAGCAGCTTTTGTCTAACGACAACAATGTCCCTTTAATTTATTTTTCCTATAAATTGTATAACTGTGTTGGGAGAAGAAGTCTATAGCGCTGTTTGTTAGCGCAAAATATCTATGCTTGCATTCGTTTTAAGTTAGAGCTTTTTACATATTATGATGTGAAGTCGCAATCAGGTGGTCCTCGGTAGTATAGTGGTGAGTATCCCCGCCTGTCACGCGGGAGACCGGGGTTCGATTCCCCGCCGGGGAGCATTTAAAATGTTTTCTTTCATTGATTTTAGCTTGCAAAAGAATTTTTTTTTTTTTTTTTATAAATATTATGATCGTAGACGATCGAGAGAAGTTCTCCTCGGTAGTATAGTGGTGAGTATCCCCGCCTGTCACGCGGGAGACCGGGGTTCGATTCCCCGCCGGGGAGCCTCTTTATTCTTTTGTTTCTTTCACTCGTCCCTATATCACATACCCATCCTATAACGGTAAACTGTTAACGCACATTCGACGCTGATGCTTACGACACTTCACATTTGTGTAGTTGTAAGACCTAAAGAATTTCATGTCGAATGTGTTTAACTTTTACACACTAAAATGAACTTTTCCTGCAACTGATGAGATCATTTAGATTATAAAATTCCTCCAACGGTAAGGAGAATTGAATTTCGTGTTCATCTCTCGACTCACTGAAAATGTCTATTAATTCTGATTGCACACGCTCCAAGTGATACAATGTTTGTATATTACTGAACATACTCTAAACAGATTGACACGTATGTTGAAATGGGACAATAAGTGATAATTTTTTTTATTAAATGTTCTATCGAATGTTTTACCTGACAATATCCGTTATCGACGACATATAATCAGAATATTTTTTGTGTGTGTTTTAAATACGATACAACATTTTCCACATATGTATGTTACGGAAATATAGAAAACGTGTATTTATTGGCGTCTTTTTATAAAAATTCCGCTGTGTACGAGAGAAATGCAAGTTTTTGAGATAAAATGCATTTCTAATCCAAGTTGTGGCCAGATACAGATCGGCCGAATCCGATTTCGTAGGAATAACCTAAATGAATCTGGAATAGGAGGGCAGGCATGTAAGTTCAAATAACTTGAGCAGCTTTTGTCTAACGACAACAATGTCCCTTTAATTTATTTTTCCTATAAATTGTATAACTGTGTTGGGAGAAGAAGTCTATAGCGCTGTTTGTTAGCGCAAAATATCTATGCTTGCATTCGTTTTAAGTTAGAGCTTTTTACATATTATGATGTGAAGTCGCAATCAGGTGGTCCTCGGTAGTATAGTGGTGAGTATCCCCGCCTGTCACGCGGGAGACCGGGGTTCGATTCCCCGCCGGGGAGCATTTAAAATGTTTTCTTTCATTGATTTTAGCTTGCAAAAGAATTTTTTTTTATAAATATTATGATCGTAGACGAGCGAGAGAAGTTCTCGGTAGTATAGTGGTGAGTATCCCCGCCTGTCACGCGGGAGACCGGGGTTCGATTCCCCGCCGGGGAGCCTCTTTGTTCTTTTGTTTCTTTCACTCGTCCCTATATCACATACCCATCCTATAACGGTAAACTGTTAACGCACATTCGACGCTGATGCTTACGACACTTCACATTTGTGTAGTTGTAAGACCTAAAGAATTTCATGTCGAATGTGTTTAACTTTTACACACTAAAATGAACTTTTCCTGCAACTGATGAGATCATTTAGATTATAAAATTCCTCCAACGGTAAGGAGAATTGAATTTCGTGTTCATCTCTCGACTCACTGAAAATGTCTATTAATTCTGATTGCACACGCTCCAAGTGATACAATGTTTGTATATTACTGAACATACTCTAAACAGATTGACACGTATGTTGAAATGGGACAATAAGTGATAATTTTTTTTATTAAATGTTCTATCGAATGTTTTACCTGACAATATCCGTTATCGACGACATATAATCAGAATATTTTGTTGTGTGTTTTAAATACGATACAACATTTTCCACATATGTATGTTACGGAAATATAGAAAACGTGTATTTATTGGCGTCTTTTTATAAAAAATTCCGCTGTGTACGAGAGAAAATGCAAGTTTTTGAGATAAAATGCATTTCTAATCCAAGTTGTGGCCAGATACAGATCGGCCGAATCCGATTTCGTAGGAATAACCTAAATGAATCTGGAATAGGAGGGCAGGCATGTAAGTTCAAATAACTTGAGCAGCTTTTGTCTAACGACAACAATGTCCCTTTAATTTATTTTTCCTATAAATTGTATAACTGTGTTGGGAGAAGAAGTCTATAGCGCTGTTTGTTAGCGCAAAATATCTATGCTTGCATTCGTTTTAAGTTAGAGCTTTTTACATATTATGATGTGAAGTCGCAATCAGGTGGTCCTCGGTAGTATAGTGGTGAGTATCCCCGCCTGTCACGCGGGAGACCGGGGTTCGATTCCCCGCCGGGGAGCATTTAAAATGTTTTCTTTCATTGATTTTAGCTTGCAAAAGAATTTTTTTTTATAAATATTATGATCGTAGACGAGCGAGAGAAGTTCTCGGTAGTATAGTGGTGAGTATCCCCGCCTGTCACGCGGGAGACCGGGGTTCGATTCCCCGCCGGGGAGCCTCTTTTTCTTTTGTTTCTTTCACTCGTCCCTATATCACATACCCATCCTATAACGGTAAACTGTTAACGCACATTCGACGCTGATGCTTACGACACTTCACATTTGTGTAGTTGTAAGACCTAAAGAATTTCATGTCGAATGTGTTTAACTTTTTACACACTAAAATGAACTTTTCCTGCAACTGATGAGATCATTTAGATTATAAAATTCCTCCAACGGTAAGGAGAATTGAATTTCGTGTTCATCTCTCGACTCACTGAAAATGTCTATTAATTCTGATTGCACACGCTCCAAGTGATACAATGTTTGTATATTACTGAACATACTCTAAACAGATTGACACGTATGTTGAAATGGGACAATAAGTGATAATTTTTTTTATTAAATGTTCTATCGAATGTTTTACCTGACAATATCCGTTATCGACGACATATAATCAGAATATTTTGTTGTGTGTTTTAAATACGATACAACATTTTCCACATATGTATGTTACGGAAATATAGAAAACGTGTATTTATTGGCGTCTTTTTTATAAAATTCCGCTGTGTACGAGAGAAATGCAAGTTTTTGAGATAAAATGCATTTCTAATCCAAGTTGTGGCCAGATACAGATCGGCCGAATCCGATTTCGTAGGAATAACCTAAATGAATCTGGAATAGGAGGGCAGGCATGTAAGTTCAAATAACTTGAGCAGCTTTTGTCTAACGACAACAATGTCCCTTTAATTTATTTTTCCTATAAATTGTATAACTGTGTTGGGAGAAGAAGTCTATAGCGCTGTTTGTTAGCGCAAAATATCTATGCTTGCATTCGTTTTAAGTTAGAGCTTTTTACATATTATGATGTGAAGTCGCAATCAGGTGGTCCTCGGTAGTATAGTGGTGAGTATCCCCGCCTGTCACGCGGGAGACCGGGGTTCGATTCCCCGCCGGGGAGCATTTAAAATGTTTTCTTTCATTGATTTTAGCTTGCAAAAGAATTTTTTTTTATAAATATTATGATCGTAGACGAGCGAGAGAAGTTCTCGGTAGTATAGTGGTGAGTATCCCTCGCCTGTCACGTTGGAGACCGGGGTTCGATTTCCGCCGGGGGAGCATTTAAAATGTTTTTCCTGTCACGCGGGAGACCGGGGTTCGATTCCCCGCCGGGGAGCCTCTTTATTCTTTTGTTTCTTTCACTCGTCCCTATATCACATACCCATCCTATAACGGTAAACTGTTAACGCACATTCGACGCTGATGCTTACGACACTTCACATTTGTGTAGTTGTAAGACCTAAAGAATTTCATGTCGAATGTGTTTAACTTTTACACACTAAAATGAACTTTTCCTGCAACTGATGAGATCATTTAGATTATAAAATTCCTCCAACGGTAAGGAGAATTGAATTTCGTGTTCATCTCTCGACTCACTGAAAATGTCTATTAATTCTGATTGCACACGCTCCAAGTGATACAATGTTTGTATATTACTGAACATACTCTAAACAGATTGACACGTATGTTGAAATGGGACAATAAGTGATAATTTTTTTTATTAAATGTTCTATCGAATGTTTTACCTGACAATATCCGTTATCGACGACATATAATCAGAATATTTTGTTGTGTGTTTTAAATACGATACAACATTTTCCACATATGTATGTTACGGAAATATAGAAAACGTGTATTTATTGGCGTCTTTTTTATAAAAAATTCCGCTGTGTACGAGAGAAATGCAAGTTTTTGAGATAAAATGCATTTCTAATCCAAGTTGTGGCCAGATACAGATCGGCCGAATCCGATTTCGTAGGAATAACCTAAATGAATCTGGAATAGGAGGGCAGGCATGTAAGTTCAAATAACTTGAGCAGCTTTTGTCTAACGACAACAATGTCCCTTTAATTTATTTTTCCTATAAATTGTATAACTGTGTTGGGAGAAGAAGTCTATAGCGCTGTTTGTTAGCGCAAAATATCTATGCTTGCATTCGTTTTAAGTTAGAGCTTTTTACATATTATGATGTGAAGTCGCAATCAGGTGGTCCTCGGTAGTATAGTGGTGAGTATCCCCGCCTGTCACGCGGGAGACCGGGGTTCGATTCCCCGCCGGGGAGCATTTAAAATGTTTTCTTTCATTGATTTTAGCTTGCAAAAGAATTTTTTTATTTTTTTTTTATAAATATTATGATCGTAGACGATCGAGAGAAGTTCTCCTCGGTAGTATAGTGGTGAGTATCCCCGCCTGTCACGCGGGAGACCGGGGTTCGATTCCCCGCCGGGGAGCCTCTTTATTCTTTTTTGTTTCTTTCACTCGTCCCTATATCACATACCCATCCTATAACGGTAAACTGTTAACGCACATTCGACGCTGATGCTTACGACACTTCACATTTGTGTAGTTGTAAGACCTAAAGAATTTCATGTCGAATGTGTTTAACTTTTACACACTAAAATGAACTTTTCCTGCAACTGATGAGATCATTTAGATTATAAAATTCCTCCAACGGTAAGGAGAATTGAATTTCGTGTTCATCTCTCGACTCACTGAAAATGTCTATTAATTCTGATTGCACACGCTCCAAGTGATACAATGTTTGTATATTACTGAACATACTCTAAACAGATTGACACGTATGTTGAAATGGGACAATAAGTGATAATTTTTTTTTTTATTAAATGTTCTATCGAATGTTTTACCTGACAATATCCGTTATCGACGACATATAATCAGAATATTTTGTTGTGTGTTTTAAATACGATACAACATTTTCCACATATGTATGTTACGGAAATATAGAAAACGTGTATTTATTGGCGTCTTTTTATAAAAATTCCGCTGTGTACGAGAGAAATGCAAGTTTTTGAGATAAAATGCATTTCTAATCCAAGTTGTGGCCAGATACAGATCGGCCGAATCCGATTTCGTAGGAATAACCTAAATGAATCTGGAATAGGAGGGCAGGCATGTAAGTTCAAATAACTTGAGCAGCTTTTGTCTAACGACAACAATGTCCCTTTAATTTATTTTTCCTATAAATTGTATAACTGTGTTGGGAGAAGAAGTCTATAGCGCTGTTTGTTAGCGCAAAATATCTATGCTTGCATTCGTTTTAAGTTAGAGCTTTTTACATATTATGTTGTGAAGTCGCTACCAGGTGGTCCTCGGTAGTATAGTGGTGAGTATCCCCGCCTGTCACGCGGGAGACCGGGGTTCGATTCCCCGCCGGGGAGCATTTAAAATGTTTTCTTTCATTGATTTTAGCTTGCAAAAGAATTTTTTTATTTTTTTTTATAAATATTATGATCGTAGACGAACGCGAGAAGTTCTCCTCGGTAGTATAGTGGTGAGTATCCCCGCCTGTCACGCGGGAGACCGGGGTTCGATTCCCCGCCGGGGAGCCTCTTTGTTCTTTTGTTTCTTTCACTCGTCCCTATATCACATACCCATCCTATAACGGTAAACTGTTAACGCACATTCGACGCTGATGCTTACGACACTTCACATTTGTGTAGTTGTAAGACCTAAAGAATTTCATGTCGAATGTGTTTAACTTTTACACACTAAAATGAACTTTTCCTGCAACTGATGAGATCATTTAGATTATAAAATTCCTCCAACGGTAAGGAGAATTGAATTTCGTGTTCATCTCTCGACTCACTGAAAATGTCTATTAATTCTGATTGCACACGCTCCAAGTGATACAATGTTTGTATATTACTGAACATACTCTAAACAGATTGACACGTATGTTGAAATGGGACAATAAGTGATAATTTTTTTTATTAAATGTTCTATCGAATGTTTTACCTGACAATATCCGTTATCGACGACATATAATCAGAATATTTTGTTGTGTGTTTTAAATACGATACAACATTTTCCACATATGTATGTTACGGAAATATAGAAAACGTGTATTTATTGGCGTCTTTTTATAAAAATTCCGCTGTGTACGAGAGAAATGCAAGTTTTTGAGATAAAATGCATTTCTAATCCAAGTTGTGGCCAGATACAGATCGGCCGAATCCGATTTCGTAGGAATAACCTAAATGAATCTGGAATAGGAGGGCAGGCATGTAAGTTCAAATAACTTGAGCAGCTTTTGTCTAACGACAACAATGTCCCTTTAATTTATTTTTCCTATAAATTGTATAACTGTGTTGGGAGAAGAAGTCTATAGCGCTGTTTGTTAGCGCAAAATATCTATGCTTGCATTCGTTTTAAGTTAGAGCTTTTTACATATTATGATGTGAAGTCGCAATCAGGTGGTCCTCGGTAGTATAGTGGTGAGTATCCCCGCCTGTCACGCGGGAGACCGGGGTTCGATTCCCCGCCGGGGAGCATTTAAAATGTTTTCTTTCATTGATTTTAGCTTGCAAAAGAATTTTTTTATTTTTTTTTATAAATATTATGATCGTAGACGAACGCGAGAAGTTCTCCTCGGTAGTATAGTGGTGAGTATCCCCGCCTGTCACGCGGGAGACCGGGGTTCGATTCCCCGCCGGGGAGCCTCTTTTTTCTTTTGTTTCTTTCACTCGTCCCTATATCACATACCCATCCTATAACGGTAAACTGTTAACGCACATTCGACGCTGATGCTTACGACACTTCACATTTGTGTAGTAAGACCTAAAGAATTTCATGTCGAATGTGTTTAACTTTTACACACTAAAATGAACTTTTCCTGCAACTGATGAGATCATTTAGATTATAAAATTCCTCCAACGGTAAGGAGAATTGAATTTCGTGTTCATCTCTCGACTCACTGAAAATGTCTATTAATTCTGATTGCACACGCTCCAAGTGATACAATGTTTGTATATTACTGAACATACTCTAAACAGATTGACACGTATGTTGAAATGGGACAATAAGTGATAATTTTTTTTTTTTATTAAATGTTCTATCGAATGTTTTACCTGACAATATCCGTTATCGACGACATATAATCAGAATATTTTGTTGTGTGTTTTAAATACGATACAACATTTTCCACATATGTATGTTACGGAAATATAGAAAACGTGTATTTATTGGCGTCTTTTTATAAAAATTCCGCTGTGTACGAGAGAAATGCAAGTTTTTGAGATAAAATGCATTTCTAATCCAAGTTGTGGCCAGATACAGATCGGCCGAATCCGATTTCGTAGGAATAACCTAAATGAATCTGGAATAGGAGGGCAGGCATGTAAGTTCAAATAACTTGAGCAGCTTTTGTCTAACGACAACAATGTCCCTTTAATTTATTTTTCCTATAAATTGTATAACTGTGTTGGGAGAAGAAGTCTATAGCGCTGTTTGTTAGCGCAAAATATCTATGCTTGCATTCGTTTTAAGTTAGAGCTTTTTACATATTATGATGTGAAGTCGCAATCAGGTGGTCCTCGGTAGTATAGTGGTGAGTATCCCCGCCTGTCACGCGGGAGACCGGGGTTCGATTCCCCGCCGGGGAGCATTTAAAATGTTTTCTTTCATTGATTTTAGCTTGCAAAAGAATTTTTTATTTTTTTTTATAAATATTATGATCGTAGACGATCGAGAGAAGTTCTCCTCGGTAGTATAGTGGTGAGTATCCCCGCCTGTCACGCGGGAGACCGGGGTTCGATTCCCCGCCGGGGAGCCTCTTTATTTCTTTTGTTTCTTTCACTCGTCCCTATATCACATACCCATCCTATAACGGTAAACTGTTAACGCACATTCGACGCTGATGCTTACGACACTTCACATTTGTGTAGTTGTAAGACCTAAAGAATTTCATGTCGAATGTGTTTAACTTTTTTTTTTTTAAAATGAACTTTTCCTGCAACTGATGAGATCATTTAGATTATAAAATTCCTCCAACGGTAAGGAGAATTGAATTTCGTGTTCATCTCTCGACTCACTGAAAATGTCTATTAATTCTGATTGCACACGCTCCAAGTGATACAATGTTTGTATATTACTGAACATACTCTAAACAGATTGACACGTATGTTGAAATGGGACAATAAGTGATAATTTTTTTTATTAAATGTTCTATCGAATGTTTTACCTGACAATATCCGTTATCGACGACATATAATCAGAATATTTTGTTGTGTTTTTAAATACGATACAACATTTTCCACATATGTATGTTACGGAAATAGAAAACGTGTATTTATTGGCGTCTTTTATAAAAATTCCGCTGTGTACGAGAGAAATGCAAGTTTTGAGATAAAATGCATTTCTAATCCAAGTTGTGGCCAGATACAGATCGGCCGAATCCGATTTCGTAGGAATAACCTAAATGAAACTGGAATAGGAGGCAGGCATGTAAGTTCAAATAACTTGAGCAGCTTTTGTCTAACGACAACAATGTCCCTTTAATTTATTTTTCCTATAAATTGTATAACTGTGTTGGGAGAAGAAGTCTATAGCGCTGTTTGTTAGCGCAAAATATCTATGCTTGCATTCGTTTTTTAGAGCTTTTTTTTTTATTATGATGTGAAGTCGCAATCAGGTGGTCCTCGGTAGTATAGTGGTGAGTATCCCCGCCTGTCACGCGGGAGACCGGGGTTCGATTCCCCGCCGGGGGAGCATTTAAAATGTTTTCTTCTTGTCTGGTCTAGAAGTTTTTTTTTAAATGCTCTTCAAAGGGATCATGAAGCATGTTTTTATTGTTGGCATGAACGTAACTTATTGGTTGAAAAATGTTAAATATTATTTTACAAAGTAATGATTTATTAACTGGAAGGATGTGCACATCCTCCAACTCAAAAACCATTTTTTGTCATTTGATGATTGACTGTCATGGTGTTTATTTCCATTTTGACTCCACATTTGTTTTATTTTTTGGCTTTTGTTTTGTGGGGTAGGCAATAAACCCTACAACTACACTCAGTCACAGGACTAATGATGATGAGGATGACAGTGAATATTTAGTCTAGTATCACAGATTAGCTTGTCAGTTGCCTGATCTTAACCAGTCGGCTATGTTCCTTAGAGACTGGTGTACTGTACTACTCTGCTTATGAGCGGGAGTAGCTCAAAGCCGCGTGTCTTAAAAAAGAAAATTAAATTTGAAGGACGAGGCAGCCGCTGTGGCTTGGGAGTCGCATCCAGATACTTGGGAACACCTTCAATAGTTGACCGTCAGATACCACACATATTTGGTGGTGGTGGTGGTGGTGGTTATTATCATTATTATTATTATTATTGTTGTTGTTGTTATTATTATTTCTTTGGTTACTATTGTATACACATTTTCTTCCGGGTCCCAACCAGAGACCTAAGGTCAGAAAAGGCTTCATGACATTTTCCACTGATCATTTTTGTAAAAAAACAAGCAAAAAAAAATGAAAAACTAAGATCACACACATTTTAGATAAAGCTCTTTGTAATGTGTGAGCTGCACTTGTGAGAAGAAGAAGAAGAAGAAGAAGAAGAAGAAGAAGAAGAAGAAGAAGAAGAAGAACAACAACAACAACAACAACAACATCAACATCATGATTATTATTATTATTATCATTATTATTATTATTATTATTATTATTATTATTTTCTTTGATTTCTGGCGTTTACACATTTCTTTCCGGGTCCCACCCAGGGACGTAAGGTTAGAAATGGCATCATGACACTTTCCACTGACAAAAAAAAAAAAAATAATTACATAGACAAAGCCCTTCGTAAAGTGTGGGCTGTACTTGTCAGAACAATTTTTTTGTATCTCCTTGAGGCATGGATTTCCAGGAATCCCTTCAATTAGTCTACTGCAATCTTTTCCAACCAGTCCTAGGGCTCCAACTACAACAGGGAAAAGGAAAAAGACAATTTTTACTTAAATTTTTAGTGTCCCAGGTAAGTTATCAACAAATTTGGCATTATTCATTACTAAGAATATCATGTATACTAAGAAAAGTGCTATTAGTCAAATGACAATTCTCTTATAGGGCCCAAGGACCATAGTTTGGACCCGGCTCTACAGGGTACAAACCAGGAAACATAACATGCACAAATGATGTTGTTGATGATGATGATGGCAACAACAACAACCATCAACAATTCTCCTTCTTCTTCTATGTACTGCTTTCTTACTTACTTAGACAAACCTCTAATGTTAGTGTTTCTTTCTCCATTTTTTGGTCTTCGTAAATAGACATGTTACATAATTCTATCAAACGGAAAAATCAAAATTAAATTAAATAAATAATAATAATTATTATTATTTATGATGTTACTGCTAGTTTAGAGTACTACTACTAATAACAGTGAGAATATTCCTACTGCTGCTAATGATAATGATAATGCTGATAATAATACTAATTAAATCGATAATGATGAATTTTAGCTTTATTGTAATCTTGGCTGAAAATTTGGTCAAAATTAAAACAGGAACAATTTTAAAGGTAGAAAAAGTCATAGTGTACTGTGCTGCCACCAGGCGACACTACTAGGCTTGTTACTTCAAAAAATGTGATTTTTATGTCCCACCGAAAAACGAAATCGACGTAAAAAAAAATTTAAAAAACCCAGACATTTTCCCTTGTTTTTAAACGTAAATAAGGTCTTTTTTCTGACAAATGTCACACGACAAATAAATCACTGGTGTATCCCGATCGTTATAATATTAAAATCTTTCCGATTTTTTTGTCTACCGGACGTCTGTACTACATCTTTGCGTGACGATCCATGATTTCCAGGAGTCGGAAAGTGTGAGTGAGATTTTTATGAGTCTCCCTTAAGGGAGCGGTCCTTGTCTCACTCACACTCATCAAAACACCGACCCGTGAGTTGGGGGCAGGGTTCGAGTGTTACCAACCTTATCTTTTCCTGACCCCCCTCTTAAATGTAAATCTTGGGAATTATTTGGAAAGAGTTCATTTTTGGGGATATTTTACGCGGTGGAGCAACGGATTGAGTGTGAGTATTTATTCGAGGGACAAGTTATTGTCGGGCTTGCAAAACAAAAAAAAAAAAAAAAAATGACGAGTTTGTAAGTGTTTTTGAAAGGGTGAAAAAAAAAGTAAATATTTGTTGTTTATAGTTTGTTTTATAAGCTAAGAATAACTTAGAAAATGTTGAGAAATATCAAAATCGTCTGAATTTACTTCTCTTAACATTTCTCTATTGTTTACGTATTTTTTAGTGTTTCTTTCTCAGATAAAAATTAACGATAAAATCAAAATCCCTCCAAAAAAGTTTGAAAAAAAAACTTAACTAGAAGAAAAAAAAGGGAGATTTTATAATTAATTATTACTTATTTTATATAACTAAAAATATTTTTTTCTATATATTTTTTAAAAAAAAATCGATCTATTTAAAATAAATCTACATTTTATTTTAAATAAAACATAGGCATGTTTGTTTCATACCAAACAAATGTTTACGATGTCTGGATTTTTAAAAATTTATTTTATTAATAAACCCTTTTTAATTATATATTTATATAATTAAATAGAAAATTTAAATGAAACGTCTCACGATTTTTTTAAATAATTTAAATTGATTTAAAAAAAACATTTAATTCAAGTACACGTGCATTTGTATATCTTTTCCCTTTAAAAATGTCTTTAAAATAAATATTTTGTCCCCAAGTTCGGAAGAAATCATTTGGAATTTATCGTTTGTTTTTGGATATATTTAAAGATTGTTGGATATATTTTTATGGAATCTACAGGGTGGGTCAACAAATGGTTTTGTTTTCTTATTAAATTGCATCATTTTTTATTTAAAAACAGATAAACTTTTTCAGAAAACACCTGGACATGAAATCGACCCTCAGAAACCAGAGGTGCATTTGAAGGACTGAAACATCTGCTAACTTCGCTCATGTTGGATTATTTTCTCTTTTTATTTGTAAAAAAAATACATATTTCCCTTTCTTGTGGGGCAGTGGAAAGAAATGCGACTTATATGACGAAAATTTAAAAAAAAAAAAAAAAAGTAAGATTAAATCTTTTTAATTTTCTTGTGTTTTTTGCTTGTACACAATCAAGGTCCCTCAACATTTTTATTGTCTCGTGCTTTTTGTGATTTTGTCAGACAAGGGTAATGTTTTGAGAGAACGTACAAATTGTCAAAATATAAAGTTTTAATAAAAAAGTTGGTTTTAATAACTTTTAATTTTTTAAATTTGGCTAACAACTCACATTCCTTTCCCCCAAAAAAAATCCAGAAAATTGTTGGGTATCAAACACAAAAAAATTATACGAAGTATTTTTTAATTTAAAATAAAAATAAAAATAAAACAACTTAATATTTTTTTAAAAATAAATAAATAACAGGTTTTTTTACCATTTATTTTCATTTGTTTATGATTTGCCATATTTTAAAAAAATAAGATTTTGTTTTTAAGCAGGCCTCTTTCAAAATTTATCTTTTTAGTTTACCGAATTCCCCATTTATAATACGCATTTTTTTTCCTAAAAGATAATAAGCAAAATCAGGGGTTGTAATTTTTTTCAAATGCTAGGTAAAACATTGCTGCAAAATAAAATAAGGATTATCAAAAAAATAAATTCTATATTTAAAAACCATTTTTTAAAATAAATCAAGGTGATGCTGCCATAATGAAATTGGGGATAGGCCAATTTATAGGGTTTGATTTTACCAAACAAAAGTTCCAATTATTATGCATTAGTATAATCATTTCCTCATACATGCAAATATCTTTTAGGTGTGTTGCATTATGGATTGAAGGATTATTGTGGGCAATTATGGTAATTATTTAATAATTTATGTTTTTAACAATCTTACAAAATAAAGCAAAAATTTTCGATACAAACTCCTAATTAGTTTAAATTATTTTTAAAACTTTAATAGAGGTTGTTATTCTATTTCACCCCATCAAAACACTAATATTTACTTAAATTCTATTAAAATTTTATATGTGATATTTAAATTGAATGTCTTGAAAATTGTTTCAATTTAATATAAATTAAAGAACCAATAACATTAAACGGGATATGAATCTATGATGATTTGATGTCAGAAATGAGAAACTTTGGAGTTTTTCAATCTTTAGTTCTTCATAAACTCTGCAAAGGAATCATGTTTGGTAGTGCAAAAATATAATAGTGTAACTTTCTTAGAACATATGAATATTAGTGTCTTTGAGAAAATCCCTGGGTTGTCTAATCTCTTTTGGAATATCCTTAAATAGCAAATTTATCCATCTAATATCATTAAATTCTATCAATCCATGTATCTATCCAATATTCTTTATAACAATCTATCTTGTTTTTTTCTTTAACATGTTGAATCATATCTTCAATCTACAAAATTTGATGTCAAATGCTAATCTATCTATCTATAATTTTTCTATCCATTATCTATCTGATCCATGTATTGAATATGGTTTGTTATATTATCTATTGTTGTCTATCTATCCATTTTATAGGTTTTATATGCCATCAAATACTATCTATAAGGATCTGATAATTTCCATTAATATCTGTAAAACTTTTTAATATTTTTATTTATCTATCTATTGATATATCCCTGTTAAATTCATAAGATATCAAAAGTTATTGAACATCTATTCAATTTTTCCATTTAAAAATTTCCAATATCCATGTATTGTAAAAATCTATCTAGTATCAGTTTTGGAGTTGTTAATTATTATGATCTTAATATGAAACTTCTATCTATCTATCTAGAGGATGTCTATCTATTTGTGATCCTAAAACAAAAATGTCTATGAATATAATATATCTATCTATCTATATATAAAAATTATTTGAGATACTATATATTATGTTGGCTTTCTATCAATACATGATTAAATCAATTACAGTTCGATCAGACCAAAAATTTTTATTATTTTTTCTAATTTCCTAAAGGTATGTAGTATACAAATCAAAAAAAATCTGAAAATATTTGTTGGAGCTTGAACACTTATTCAATAATAGAAACACAACTTGTTTGTTGGTTGAATTTAACAAAACTTATCATTTTGAACTTTTGGACAAAGTTTTTAAATATGCAGTCTATTATAACATCCAAGGTTGAAACACCCAATAGGAACAATGTTGAAATAACTTAATTCTAAAAAAGGAGAACTATACTAGATATCCCTTTGACAAACAAGTGGAAAAAAATCAGTCTATGCCGTAAGATTATATCAAAAGATTGATTTTGAATTCCCTTTGGTTACCTGGATTGATTTACTATCCTCCAAAAAATGAAAAACACATTGAAAATTTTATTCGTATTTTCGCTAATTGATTGATTGCATTTATCAACAAAATTTGCTTAAATAAAGGAAGAAAAAAATTTTAATTTGGCCCTACAAAAGTTTTTGACAAATGATGGTTTACATAATCTAATTATTTTTTTTTATTTTTTTTTTTTTATATCACCCCAAGCAAGGCGGGAAGCCACTAGCACGCAAGGGGTTACAGAGAGTTGGAGCGAGAACAAAGAGGAGTGATAGAGGAAATGATGAAGAGAAGGATAGGGGATAAATCAGGGCATCTGGAGACGTCGATTGACATTACATTTGAATAGTTGGAGATTATAGCTATCAGGGAAACAGGAAAAGGGGAGGGAGTTCCACAGGCGAGAAGTGCGAGACATGAAGCTATTGGAGTAGAAGAGATGGCTACATTTAACAGTTTTGACAGTGAAAGGGTGAGAGTGAGATGCTAGCTTAGTTGAACGCTTAAATTCATGAAGTCTGGAACTCATCAGAGCAGTTACCATGAAAGTATTTGTAAAAAAGACATAGGGAGGCGACGACACATCTGTGAGAGAGCAACTACAGATGAGATGACAGATCAGGGCCAATTACATTGCATATCCGTCTCTGGATTTTATCAAGGACCTTGAGACAAACAGAAGGGGCTCCAGACCATATATGGCAGCAATACTCCATGCAAGGGTGAATGGTTGATTTGAAGGATCGACTCCGGCAAAAAAATTTCCTGGCACAGCACAGGGCCAACTTTAACTGGTGGACGAAGCTATTGAGAGAATGTATTTGTTCCATTCTTAGGTCAAACATAAGTGAATATAAGCAACCCAACTAAATTGGAACTCCACTCTCCAGACATTCTATTCTGGGCAAATTATCCATTACTCCACCTGATTCCATAGACAGCAGTTTTGTATTCCCAAATTAGTCACCCATCTCAGTGACTAACCAGGCTTGTGATTATTTTAACCATAAAACAATCTGTGGCCAGAATTAATTTGATTTGTCTGATGTAAAATAAGCTTTAAGGATAGGAGATGGTAAAATGTGTGTGCTCTAGAACAGATTTCAAACCGGTAATACCTTTCACATGAGAAGTCATCTTGTGCAGAGGACTGTAGGTGGTTTCCCAGGTTAAACAGAATATACATTCTATTCCTGTCAGGGGGACATTTTCTTTAAGATTTGTCGCCAAATGTCCAAAAGTTTTCGGTTCAATGCCGCCCTATCTTTGAAATAGTATTCCAATGATAGTGATAGCACCTGTCACATAGTCATTTAGAGCTACAAGAAATCTGCAACTTTGACAAAGTTACAGATTTCTAAAACCAAATTTCACAAAGAGTAGTATGGAGGCAACTAAATTTGTTATCATTTGAAAAAGAAATCAATTTACTGGTTAAAAATTGGCTTGTAAGACTTGACTTTCAACAGATATCTGCACTGATATCAGATATTCAAATTTTTCAACAATTTGATAAAGGAATCCAGGGATTGTAATCTCTTTAGCTTTGACAGGGTTAATAAGACTTTCAATGTCTAGACTGGTAGATGTTAATTTCACATTTTTCAAAAAACATGTCCAGATAAAATGTTGATAGTAATTGAAGCTGTTATTTTCAGCAGTTTCTGATGAATATCAATCTAATTGCACTAATATTATATATTCGGATTTTTTACGTTGACAATCACATCACGTTCAAACACCAATTCCCGTACAGTCACCGGTTTAGAATGTTGAGCCTGGTCATTCCCTTTGGTTGGATGACCCCTTGGGAATACCAGGTGTTGTAAGCTTGGATGTACAGATAGATATGGCTTACAGTCATTACAGTTAAGTAGCATCAAAAAATCAGTACATTGATGGGTGACTGCAAGAGAATACCAAGTGCTGTAAGCTTGGATGTGTGGTTAGTATATGGATAATGGCTCAGAATTGTTAATTAAGAGCAAATTTCAATTCAATTTTTCATCATATTAAATTATTTAAATAATTTTGAGAAAGGTATGAATCTATCTCGTTCCTCCCAGCTATGGATTAATTAGTAAGAATTTTATCACTAAATAATTATTATCTTAAAGTTCTTACAATGTAAAAATATTTTTTGGCTTTGAATATATGTTGAGAGACAGTAGAAAACAAATCGGTCATTCAATCAGATTTTTCAACCATTTGATAAGGACCCCAGCGATTGAAATCTCTTTAACTTTGATAGGGTTAATAAGACTTTCAGTGTCTAGACTGTTAGATGTTAATTTCACATGTCTACGGAAACATGTGTACCTGCTAGATATAATGTTTATAGTAATATATATCTGAAGAAGTTGTAAATTTCGTGTTCCAATCATTTTTTTTATTGCTCAAAGCACATGTAAAAATTTTCCACCTGCCACCTGTATAGTAAATATTCAAAAGCATACCAAAATTGTTTGGTAAAAGTTTGTTACTGGTTCATAAACTGACTTTATGATGTAATAAAAAATATCAAAGGGAGGTAATGAATAATGCTGACTTATGCAGCTAATACCATATTAAAGAGCAAATGAAAGCAAACTTGATCATTAAAAACTATATAAATATAATTTATATTTATGGTTAGGCTTAGCATTGCAAG